CTGATTGCTAAAGCAAAAATTACTTTGTAGACTTTGCACCTAAAATAGAAAACAGTTGTGTTTTTACTTCAATAATATCACAGTCTTTTTTTTTGAAAAGAATTCTCTTAGAGGCATAAGTTCAAAACATCTCATTTATAAAAACGTATTTATTTCACTTAGAATTCTCTTATGTGGCTTATCAAAAAGACCAGGAGTCTTTGGATCAGGAGTACTTTGCCTTGAGTCCCAGAGTCCCAGTTCTGTCATTGACAAGCTACCCAATGAGTTATTTCGCCGTTTTGAGCCTCAGTGCCCTCATCTGCATAATGGGTATGATAGCAGAGGTTTAATGTATTAGGGCAGCCTATGATTGAAATGCTACAGTCCTCCTTTACTATACCCTGTAGTCTACCCAAATGTATATGCTCTGTAAAAACATGTAATGGAGGAGCACAGTCTAATTGCTGAACACCAGTCCACTTCCAAAATCATGATGTAAGCACCTTCTACATGCAGGGAGCTGGGCTGCATGGAATTCATAACAAGGGAAAGACATAGTTCAAGTTGGGCTGTGGTGAGGGTTGAAATAGATGTGGAAACAAGATGTGGTGAGGAGTGAGGAGTGCAGAGCAGGACATTCAGGTCATTAAACCTTGAGGGCCTTTGTCAGCCTCCTTTAGAAGGGGAACAGGTCTAGGTGGGGCCGTATTGAGATTAAGAACATGGGAGGTAAAATCAGCCAGCCTGGGTTTGAATTCCTATTCTAGTGTTGCTGGTTCTGTGACATTGGCTAAGTTACTTAATCTCTTGCTGCCTCAGTTTCCTCATCTGTCACATGGGGACAATAGTAGTATCTCCTCAGTGGCTGGGAGGGTTGGGGGGGTTGAGGTAACACGTGTAAAGCATTTAGCACAGCACCTGGTGTATGGTGGACCCTCAACACAACTGCTTGTGGTATTCATATCACTGGCACTGGCTGTGTTTGAAAACTTCCTGAAATACAGCCACACTGTTGGAGATTTAGGGGTGTCACCTATTACCTTATGAAGAATTAAGATGGGAGCCAAGCAAGCACTTAGACACAGTAATTGATCAAAGCTGGCTTGGAGGGCCTGGCTTAGGGGTGAGGCCACAGCGTGCCCTGAGTTAAACACACTCCCCCAGAGGCAGCTGCGGATGCCTGTGGCCTGTTCCTCAGGGCAGGGCTCACATGAGCAAACTCGCCACCAGCCAGGGAGACCAGGCGGAGCACAGAGCCCAGAGAGCCCAGGGGGTCAAAGAGGAGCACACCAGCTCCCTTACCAAGAGCGGGTAGTCAGCGGAAGCCCTCACCTCTCTGGTGCGAAGTGTCAAAGGATGACTTGACAACCCGAGGGCAGAGGGAATTTAAACCCCAGTGCAAACTTTTATACAAATTTAAATCTTGGTGCTTGTCTGGGGAAAAATTCACTGTTTTCCTCTTTGTTACTCATTCTATACACATAGAGCGCTTCTGATGCCAGATGTCCCCACACTGGCCAATTCAACACCAGCCCTCTGTCCTAGAGTTCAGTTCAATTCAGTTCTGACACTAACCTGGAGTAAGTGCAGACCCCACAGCTTAAGGGCCCAGTCCCACTAGATTGTCCCTCACTTCAGACACCAAATGAAAGTAGTGTGCCTCCAGGTTCCCCATGACTTCTGCCCAGCTTGGCTCCAAATTGGGGGTTCCCAGGACCCCCTCCTTGATTTCGTTCATTTGCTAGAACAGCTCCCATAGCTCAGGGAAACACTAACTTAGGTTTACCACCTTATTATAGGACATGATCAAGGAGGCAGATGGACAGCCAGATGAAGAGCTACATAGGGCAGGGTCTGGGAGGGTCCCAAGTGCGGGACCTCTGTCCCTTGTGCACCTGGGATTCACCACTCTCATGGGATGTGGATATGTTCAATGTATGAGTTCTCTGCACCCCATACTAGCGGGGTTTTTATGGAGACCTCATGACATAAACACAATCGATTAACTCCGCCAGGCCCTCTCCCTTCCAGAGGGTGGGGGACATGGAGCTGAAAATTTGAAGCTTCTAATCCCGGTTGCCCTTTCTGATGGGAAGCTCCCATCCAAAGCCACAGAGAGTTGCCTCATTACCAGATTACTTACCTGTGCCTTGGTTTTCTCATCAAAAAACGAGGACAGTGATGGTTTTTATATCACAAGGTTGTTTTGAGGTTAAAGTGAGTTAGTATGTACAAAGTGCTTAGAAGAATGGCTCCTAAAATTATTCCATGAGTATTTATGATTTAGCTTCTGGTGAAGGAAGACAATAAATGAACTAAAAATTAAAGTGTCCATCAGCAGATATGGAGAGGGAGATGGGAGTTTGAGAAAGTGTATTTTCTCACCTTTTGGAATGTGAGGTCGATACTAACTGTTTAAAGTCGACATGTCAAGAATTAGAGGTGTCACCACATGAAACGATGCTCAGCATCCCTCCTCATCATTTAAATACAAATCAAAACCACACTGAGATACCACCTCACGCCAGTCAGAGTGGCTAAAATGAGCAAATCAGAGAACTCTAGGTGCTGGTTAGGATGTGGAGAAACGGGCACCCTCCTTCACTGTTGGTGGGATTGTAAACTTGTACAGCCCCTCTGGAAAACAGTGTGGAGGTTCCTCAGGAAACTAACACTAGAACTCCCCTAGGACCCAGCAATAGCACTGCTAGGAATTTACCCAAGGGATACAGGAGTGCTGATGTTTAGGGGCACATGGACCCCAATGTTCATAGCAGCACTCTCCACAATAGCTAAAACATGGAAAGAGCCTAAGTGTCCATCAACAGATGAATGGATCAAGAAGATGTGGTTTATCTTTACCATGGAATACTACATGGCAATGAGAAACAATGAAATCTGGCCATGTGTGGCAACATGGATGGACCTTGAGGGTGTTATGCTGAGCGAAATAAGTCAGGCAGAGAAGGACAGCTACCATATGTTCGCACGTATAAGAGGATTAGAAGGAACTTAACTGAGGAACAAGGGGGAGAAAAAGGGGGGAAATGGTGGGGGAAAGGGAGAGAGGCAAACCATGAGAGACTCTTGAATGCTGACAAAAACTGAGGACTGATGGATGTGGGGGGGAGGAGGGATGGGCATGGAGGAGGGCACTTGTGGGGATGAGCACTGAGTGTTATGTGGAAACTAATTTGACAATAAACTATTTGTAAAAAAAAAAAAAAAAAAAAAGAATTAGAGGTGTCACCATATTTACAGTTATGGAGGCATTCCTCGGAATGAAAAATTGGTCCAGTTAAATGTGGTTATCACTAGGGCATGAACATGCTCAGAGAGGGTGTAGCAGGATTCTCGCACAGAGAGTTGTGACACCAAGGCTTTTCTTTCCAGGTAGCACCTTTATTCTAGCCGGCATCGCTCAGTTGGGTTCGTACCCAAAGAACTGAGCCCCAAAACACCACATGGTGTGGTTTTTAATATATTTTTTACTTCTTTGTCTGCAATGTATGGTAACACACAGACATGCAGTCTGATTAACATGGTCTCATGTTACAGGGTCGTGAGGGATGTCGTCACGTACATGAATAGCAAGGTTGCCTTGAGATGTTCTTTTTTTTTCTTTCCTTAAGGAGTAGACCCTACCACAAGGGGAGACTTTCCTCTATTTTGAGTTTTTATTGCCACCTATGCCTCATTTTGAGTTCTTTACTAACATAAGTGTGTAGTTTTTTGAGATGTAATTCACATTCTTAAGTATACGATTTAATATGATTTGATAGGTACACACTTGTGAAACTCACTGCACTTAAAAGAATAAACATATCCATCAACCCCTCCTCCAAAAAAAAAAAAAAAAGAAAAAAAGAGAAAGAAAAAAGGGAGTCAGATTTAGGTTTTTTAACATAGTCTAAATTTAGGAATTTAGGAATGAGCTTTAATTCTCTTTGGGCTACAGCATCACTTAATTCAGAACCTTTTTTACTTCAAAGGATATTCTAATGATGATACAGTGATGTTTTTTGAAGTCTATAGTCTTGTATTCATGTGATCTTCTCTATCCTGAATAAAACCTATAAAACTAATAAGAACTTCTGGTGATTTTAATTTTTAATGATGTTTCCCATAGAACATCTAGTGGTTAGATAGTAGGATTTCAGACATTGGACTGGGGAACAGACACCCAAGTGTTCCTCACTTTCCTAAGGTTCATCCGTTCCCGGAGGTGTTTTCTCCAGCTAGAGCTTCTCGAAGGCATACGTTGCACATTCGAGTCACAGGCTAGGGTGTAGGAATAACATGTCTCTATTTAATTAAGTTTTGCTTCTCCTCCCCTCCTCCTCCCCCTCCCCTCACAGCAGAGCCAGCTACTTCCTCCCCCCTGCAGCTACCCCTTCCCCATGTAGTGGGAGTTAGGGTGAGGGGCGGCCACGTCAGGGAGTTTAATTTTGGAGTCCCATGTGCTAGTTGGAAACAGAATTTCTGTAGAAACCAGTTTAAGATTTATCGTTAACTAGGTTTCTTGATACCATTAGCACCAACAGCTGAGCTGTGCTCTGGGTCAGATGTGGGGGCTTTTGTGGTTTTTGGGTTCCCTTTTGTTTCTGTGGGCTGGTCTGGGAGCAGAACCACTGTTTTGTATCATTGTTTCTATGGGGAAAATGCCTTCAGCGTTCCAAACACACACACAAGTGAACTTTTGAAACACAGCCTGTTCGCAGCAGCTTATAATGGTACTTGCCAGAAGGGGGTTGTGTTTAAAATAATGTAGTTTCTCTTTGCCTAAGGGCATTACGTTTCTCCAAATCAGAGACTTGCCTGAGAATTCTGGGACAAATGTGTTAGGATTGATTTGATATTGAATGAAACTTGGAGGGCAAATGTGTTAGGATTGATCTGGTTGGTTTAGTTAGAAGATTATCATGTTCCATCGGGATGGGCTCCTGAGTTTAACAGCATCTTTCACAGGTCAGTGGGAATGTGCCCGTGATGACGATGTTCTGTATTTTAACTAACAGGTTTTCAGGAGGCCTGATATAAGGGTAAGAATACGTGGCTTTCAGCACATGGGCCTCCTACTTGTGTGTCTCTGTGCTTGATCAAACACTTAGCCTACTTAGTGCTCTTTACCTTCTTACTGGGTTTATGAGTCACTCAGATCAACTTGCTCTGCTGTGTCATAGCTTTAAGTGTTCACTAGAAACGCTTTTTTCGTGACGGTGTTTTTATGTGCAATAATAAACGCCAGTGTGTTTGAGGGCAGGGTGCTAAAAATTGTTGCCAGCGTGCAGTACTGACTTTTGTTGGGTTACATGAATTCTGACCAAATGGATATTCATGGCAGGGGCTTCTATGGCCAGGCCTACAGAGTCTTCTTTTTACCGTGTTTGCCGTGTAACTCATGCTAAAGAAGTTAACAACAACAGCAACAACAAAGTGCTCATTTGCTGTCCATCCTAAGTCAGATTTCAAGTCACCTTTCTGTGTGCATGCTGAATCTAGGCAGCGCAAGTGCTAGTCTCCAGGGTAAATTTAGTGGAATCAGTGCCGAGTAGTTCTTAAAATACAGATGTAGCCATTACGGGGAGTGGATTATAGCTTATATTTTCCTCATGACTTTCCTTCCCTTTATTTCAGAATATTCATAAAGCAAGACAAAGATTGGTAATGTGCATGCGTTTGAAACTGAGTGTCAGATGTGGAAAACTAACCTATTTCCATTCAATGAAAATAATGCGGATTTTAGCAATAACTTAATGACTTGAATTTAAAAAATGTTAATCTTAGAGAAGCCAATGAAGCCATACAGACACAAGCAGGTTAAGTCAAATTCTTGTTATCCCAGTTGGCGTATCTTTGTTTAATTTTCTTTTCACCGTGTTTTCCTTTGATCGTGGGAGTCATTTTCTTTCACTGATTCACATTGTTAAATATTAGTGTTTGGCTTTCCATTTGCATGGACTGTGAACTACTGTGTGGTTTTTTATTGTTCAGTCATTTCTTTTTGTGTTTTCAAAAATTTTATCAAAGAATGATTCCTTTTTCTTTGCATTTGAAATATGGAAGTTTCAAAAAACATTGCGTTTTAAAAATTACCCTGCTTTGAAGGGTAGCAGTAACAACTGTGTACTAAATTCAATCTGATAATAAAGTATACCAGTGTATTAAGTAGCTATTTTCGACAAAAATGAAAGGTGAGAAACAGTAATTCTTTTAAACCTCTCCTACTTCTTTACTGATTGCCTTTTAAAGAAATACAGTCGTGGGAGCCAAAGTTTCATGAGGAAAAAAGTATATCTGTGTGTTAAGATTTCCAGTCTCAGAGAGTGGATAAAACTTCTAAGAGGGGTTATAATCTTGTTGTCTTCGGCTTTGTACCACCCGCTGAACCAGCAGTCCAACCTTTAAAGTTTCCAAAACGAATCACTTCTGTGAAGAAGTTAAACTAAGCACAGTATACTTTTAAAGGGATTAGAAAACATTGAAATAAAGATATGTGACCTTTTAGCTGTTTCTTGGAAGCACACTGATACTGTAATTAGAAATATTTAATACCGTATGATTCATAAAGCACAATATTTACTTAGCAGTAATTAACAGATCACATGTGTATGTATGTCTCTAGCATGTAATATGTGCATGTGCATGTGTGTGGAAAGCTCGTTAATACTAGTGCAGTGGAGCCCTGAACAGTAGTTTTTTAGCGCATATGAACACTTAACTGTGTTTAAAATACATGTCTATGAACTGCCTCTATATTTTGGCTTGGTTTTGCCCTTTACTTGGTTACAGTGGTATGCTTTATTTTCTGTGAGCATATTATGTGTCTGTTATTTTGTTTCTTTGCCATATGTTGTAGTATTGCTTGATTTTAAAAAGACAGTGCATTCTTTGAAATCCATGATGTTTGTTTGCTTTTCATTTTTCCACCCCAACACAAACACAGAATAGATACTGCATTTTAGGCTGAGGACGCTATTTCCTTAACTTCAAGGGGGAAAATGTTGTGATTTGCAAAGCCATGAAAGGTGTGTCAACTTTTACATGCTTACTGTCTCTTTAAAAAAGAACTTCTGTCCTTTCACCTGTCTGTTTGCATGTGTTTCTCTTTCTCCTCTTTGCCTTTTCTTGTCCATGCCCCTGGTGCTGTGCAGGAGATTCAGGAAGAACACAATGGCTACCCTTCTGAAGCTGAAGCTGATCAGGTGGCAAGTTCTACGTGTTCATCTGTTTGTAGCTACAGATCGTGTACTAGAAGCCATTTCATACTAGATTTCTAGATGATAAACAAATGCTTTTACCACTATAGCAGTGCCCTCCTGTCCAAGTTTGGTAGATTCCGTTATGACATTATTTGCAAAAATTGGTTTATCCAACATTTTGTCAACCAGAAATCTGTTCACCTGTGCTTCTCGGTTTTCCTAGGTAGGGTTAGCCATGAGGTAATGAGCCTTGGTCACAACAGGGTTCAGAAATCCCTTTACAAAGATTGAGAGGGGGCAGATGCATATGCTCAGCTTGCTCCTTGAAGGTGCAGACTTTGCTTTATTCAAATTTGCAAGGTCTGTGCCCAACATGATGCCCAGCACCTTACAGGTCTTTGTGGAATGAGTCCATATAGTTTGAATTAATCAGAAGAAATCATGCATCAAGTATTCTTGAGTGTTTACTCTTTGCTCAGAACCTTTAGACTCCCCGGAGCCTTTGAAAGCGGCACAACTTTCTCCAGAGCTTATGTAGCATCTCAATATGTGAAAGCGCTAGAAGAGCGGCTCCAGGGAGGCATGGCCACACCACCACCCCCATGCTCAGCTGTGCCTTTGCCCAGCCCATCCTTCTTTGGTGACCCTGGAAGCACCTCGAAGAGCCCAGTTTGAAAACCACTACTTTTGGCATGCAGCCACCATAGACACTGCCCACCCAGCAGCCTAGACTCACGATGGGAAAGGTGGTAGAGGAGCCGGTCCATCCAGGGGCTGGGGGCCTCGGGGACGACCTCAGGGAGCTGGTGGGCCTTCCGCTGCACTTTCAGGGTCACTGGAACAGGGTTTGGATGAGATCGCCACAGGGAATTCCTCATCTGGGCCACACTTAAGCAAAGACACCAAGAGGACTGGATGTGTGCATGAGACCAAATTTTGTCCACAAGAATATTCCATTCTCTGATTATACTGTACATGGGTTGGATAAATCAAGGGTCAAATCATGTCTCGTGCAACTTTGTAGTTGCAGTCAAAGCTTAATATAGCACAAGTGAGTCCCATTTCCTAACACCAGCTTTATAAAGGGAATCTACTGTACTCACAAAATAACGAGCCTTTAAAAACCACTCTTCTCTTGAATTCCTATGCTGAAGCTAAATGTGTTTCCTGTACAAGATAAACCTTTTATGGCAAAATCAGAATCAGTGGGATCATTTGTTTTGTTCTGATAGGTGCTTTTCCATCATTATAAAGCATGTCCCAGATTTAGTTCCTGTGAGAGGTGTCTCACTCTGTCTCACCAGTACGTTCATGCCTCACAGAAATGCACAGGTATTTCAAGCCAAATCTAACATGACTGTCAGAGGAGAGGAGATATGCTTGATCTTCAGCCTCAATCTTGAGAGCCTAGTACATTCTCAAAATGGTCCCAGTCACTGGTGTCTCCCATCTGCAACATTTTAGTAGCTGGTCCTCAGTTGAGGACTTTAAAGTATTTGATATGGCTCGTTATAAACCTTATGTGAATCACATCCCGCTCCCTGCCCCCTGGACTGCACCCTCCCCAACCTCCTTTCAGGATCAGTTGATTAGAACAACTTGCTTTAGCCCATGTATTTCAAAATAACCTATCCTCACTTATTTTTAAATATAAGTTAAGGAATTTAGGTCTATAGATGAAAATATTTAGCCTTTAAAATAAGCTTTAGAAGTGTAATATTTGAAGTAACTTTAAACTTAGATATTGATTGAACTAGTTTTCTCACTTTGTCACTATGTCATAAGTCCCTGGATCAGGCAAAAGAAAGCAGATTTTAAAGTTAAGTCTTCTATTAAGATTGGTGATGCTGTTAGTATTCCTAAAACTGGACATTTAAAAGTATAAATATTGGTGAATGCTTTTCTTGCATACAAGATGTTTCTAAAACGGGTATGAGTATAAAAATGAATCCATTAACAATTCTCCATTTAACCTTTAATGGCTCTCTATGTCCCTAAAAATTTTGGCTGAAAACTTTTAAAAACCAATATGGACTAAAAAAATCAAAGTGAATAAAATCATTTGGAGGTAACAGTGAACCCTAATTTGTATTATTTTAACTATGTCTTGATAAGGAGGATGGACCATGTCATTTTGTGCGCTCCCTATAGGACAGTCATACCCTGACCAACATTTAGCATTGAATTTATGTTTTGAGTTTTTTCCTTTCTTTGTTTTATTAAAAAAAATGATAAAACTATGATATATTGGGTTTTTAAATTGACCTTTAAGTCCCATTAATAAAACATACTGAAATATCCTTATAATTATGCAAATAATTAGTGGTTTTGAACTTTCAGTAGTTTAGAATCATAAAAGATCTCCATTTAAACAATTTCACTTCACAAAATTATGCTGAATATTTAGTATTGTCTGACCTGTTTCCCATCGAACACTAGTGGCCTCCTGATGTTAGCAGTATTTTTTGAAGAAAGCAGCCCCTGATCAAATAGGTACTGGAAATGCGGCATACTCTAGCGCCCTCTTGCTAATTCGGTGTGCATTAACATGCTAAAGACTTGTCTCACTAAAATTAAACAAAACAAAACAAAACACAGTTTAGCTTTTCTTTAACCCAGCATTACCCAAACTTGAAAAAGAAAAAAGGCCATGTCCCCTGGGATTGTAATGCTCTATGAAACACAGCTTGGGAATTGCTGAGGTTTTGAACACCTTATTCTTATTTGTGACACATTGTGTCAGAGATGCCAAGGAGAAAGTGACCAGTTTCCTTGGCAGCGTCTCACGGGGTAGCAGTGACTTGGAATAGGCCCCGAGTTCAGGCTCCAGTCCATAGCTTGGTAGTTTGAACACCCTGAGCATGTCCAACCACACTCACAAGAAACTGGCTAGTAGGCAGCAGGGCTAATCTGGACATTTGGGAATATGGGTGTGGATCTCTGCAGCCATCCAAGACAGCATTTTCCTAGTATCATTATAGCCAGGAAACCTAATAAGTCATTAGCATTTGCTTGGTGAGCATGGAATCCGCGCAGAGGGAATTGGTCTCAGAGAAGGCTGGTGAACACACCCTGCTCAACAGTAGTGATGGGCATATTCTTGTCTGCCGGATGGGAGCACACTCTCGTGGCCTGGATGGGACGCACACTGACAAGTCTACTTACTTGTCACCCCTACCCCCATGCTTTGCGCACACACAGGTAGCTGGGCCACAGCACAGAAGTCTAGGGCTTTTATTAATGTTACTGCCATGAGACCCCTCCCTGGTTACTTTAGTTAGACTTAACAGTTCCCACACTAGATAGTGCTCACAAACTGGGGAATTTCTGTAGCTAGCTAAGCACCTACATCTAACGTTGATTTCATTTGTGTTAGTTTCATGCTCAGAAGGTAACCTTTTCCTGACCTTACTTCCAAATTCTGGAGGCACCTTATAATAGCTGTGTGTGTAGTGATTACAGTATCTATCTGTCATGTCAAGCCATTTCTGTATTAATGCTTTCTAACTGTTAATTAAGTATGTGTAACAATTTGTTAGAATATGCAGCATGGTGTCCTGTGATGCTGAGCTTTGAAATTGTCTTGTAAGGGGAGGGGGCATACATTTTGCACGCTTCTATAGCTATGTAGCAAGAGCACAGAGCGCTACAGTTCTTCCCAGGTATACAGAATGAAAAGTGAGATTTACTCCTGTTTGGTTTTTTGCCAGGCGCTAAGAGATGGAAATAAACTGGCCCAGATGGAAGAAGCGCCACTTTTTCCAGGAGAATCAATCAAGGCCACTGGTAAGTGTAATGGGTACACTAGGCTTATAGGGAGCCATAAAATGAAATGGCACTTTACTTGTGAGTGTAGTTGATATATGTGCTGGAGAGCAGCCAAACCAATTTAATTAGAAGACAAATGGACTAGGTCTATTCATTCTTATTAATGTCTTCATGACCTTAAGAGATAGAAGACTATATAGGACCACTCTAAGTTCCAGCTGAGTGTTCTGTGGCATCACCAACAGAAGAGGGACCTGACTTTTCCTGATGAACTGAAGGCTGATTAGACACCAACTGTAATGTAATGCTTCATTGCAATCCTTCACTGTCAGGAAAATATATTGACAGAAGATCCATATCATATTTTAATAACACTTTTGAGAAGTCGGCAAAGCAATTTCAGTGGCTTACAAGATTCCAGAAAGTACAGTTTGAGCACAAGAAAAAGAGTGTGTATTGACACATCGTGTTGTAAGGGCAGTGGCATGAGCAGCACTAGACATTTTGACAGGCAGTGCACTGTGCTGCGGCTGTGCAGGACGGCAGCTGCACGTGACCTACTCATCTCGCAGTGGCCGGGGTGGGTTGGATAGTCTAGTTGCTAGGTGGAGTGTGGCCTTCTTCCCTCATGGCACCTTCCCAGAGGTGTGTGTGCTCAGTCTCAGAGTATAATTGTCTTGTGTCAAAGTCTGAGTAGCTGGGCTCTCCTACCAGGACCTCCAGACGATACTGCTGCTGAGTATCCTGGTCTGGGGCTCCAGACCCTGCTTATGGTTTTGAAGCTCTTTCTTTAGATTCTGGAACTTCTGGCCTCTCTGACTGTTTCTTCTCTGGGAGTCCTCTAGCCCCACCTGCACGCTGCTTTCGTAATGATCTGATTAAAATGCAGAGCTAATTGTGTCATGCCTCTCCTTCTTCTCCAGAGAGCAAAGCACACAGATTTCAAGTATACAACATGAAGAGTTTTGACACATTATGCACCTGCGAAACCATCATCACAGTCAAGACAGTGAACACCCACCACCCCTAGAAGTTTCCTCGGGCCCTTTATAATTCCTGCCTCACACTCCATCTTTCCCGTCCCAACCACTGTAGACTGTATTTTCTACAGTTTTATAGAAATGTAATCATTGAGTATTTTCGTCTTTGGTCAAGCTTCTTCCACTCAGTATAATTAGTTTGATATCCATCCACATTGTGGCATGGGTCAACATGCCTTCCTTTTTACCGCTGAATAGTATCCTACTGTGTGGCTATGACAGTTTGCTTATCCAGTCATCTATTGGTAGATATTTGGGGTATTTCTACTTGGTGGCCATTATGGATAATGCTGCTGTGAACCTTCATGAATAAGCCTTCTCTGGCCTCATGTGCTATCATCCTTGCTGTGTGCCCTTTGACCCGGCCAGGCTAACCTCCAGCAACTCTGTGCTCTCTTCTTCCTCCCTCGCTTTGCCCCATTGCTCCTCACCCCCTCCTTCCCTGCTGAGCTAAGTGGATACTTTTTTGAGCTCTTACTGTGTCCACAGCGTTATGATAGCATTTGTGAGGCTGTAGTAAAATGGTGATTTTCTGTGTAGTGCTTCTCCTAGGGCTTAGCTGCTTGTGAGCAGGGCTGTGCCTGGTGTGCTCTGCAACCCCAACAGCAGAAGCTGCTCATTAGATCCTGAGCTGTAGAAAAGTCTAATGGAAGTGTTTTGAGAATCCGTCCGGATGACAACTTTAGTGCATTTAAATGTCCCACCTGAACTCCTCTGTAGCTATGTCCACCCCTGCCATTCCCATGGAGTGGCACTTTGAGAAGATAGTGAGGGTGTGGTATCTTTGGGACAGGTGTGTTGTGGAGACTGAAGCTAAATATCAACAATAAGAAAAGAAAACTTAACATGGAAGCTGATAAGGAACTTGAGGCAAAGAAGCCATTTTCCAAAGCTCCATAGATGCAGTCCTAGCTTTGTCATCTGTAAACCAGTTTCCTTTGCAGGTGCATTAGCTTTCATTAGCAGTAATTTACGAAACAGCAGCCCAGGGTATTCAGAGTGTAACTGATGTGTTTTTGAATATGATGGATTCATCACTCAGGGAAAATGTTAACTACCTGGAGAACAATGACGAAATGTAACTTATTCTGAGGCTCTTAAAACTTCACTAAGAAGCAAATCAGAAGTGTGTTTTACAGAATGGAATTCTCTTAAGACTAGCTATGTTTTTATTTAATGTAATAAAAATGTGAAATTCCTAGAAAATGGGCATCACACATATATGTATACTTGGAAACTCAAGATTTATTGAAGCCCAAGTCTATGGCGGAAGTTGCTACTTTGGGTTTTTCCTTTCAGTGAAAGACGTCATGTACATTTGTCCATTTGTGGGAGCAGTGACTGGAACCCTAACAGTGACGGACTTTAAGATGTACTTCAAAAGTGTCGAGAGGGTAAGTTTTTAAAGGAGTATTTTATTTTTAAAAACCCTTTAGAACAAAGTAAACAATAACAAAGTAAAAAGAACCCTGAAATCCCATCATCTTGAGAGGACCGGAAGGTGAGTTTTAACATATGCACATTTGCAAACAGATTTTACATATGGAAAAAGATACTATTAAAGTAGCACTTACAATCTGGTGGGAGGAGTTCAGTTGTAGTCTTGAACATCTACTTCTTCGTAAAGCACAGTACAAGTCGGACTTCGGTTTTGTAGTTGGGACAAAGAGGAAATGTAACATAAACAAACATGTGTTTTAACCCAGCGAAGACTTCAAATATGAAAGCGCTGCTGACTGACACTGATAGGGCTTCCTCTTAATTTGTCAACCCAGGAGCCGAATTTTGTTCTTGATGTTCCCCTTGGTGTGATCAGCAGAGTTGAGAAGATTGGAGCGCAGAGCCACGGGGACAATTCCTGTGGTATAGAGATCGTGTGCAAGGTATGGTACAAACACGGCTGAAACGGAGGAGGGCGGTCAGCTTGGAGCTTTTTCCGACACATTCTTCATGGTCTTTGGGCAGTGAGACTAACTGGTGCTGATAGTAACTCCAATGTTTTCTAGATAGCGGCCTCTTCAAATCTTGTATCGACTAATTCATATCACTATGTAAGTGGTCCAAGTAAACCTCTTCTTTTCTATTGAAGTGTTTTGATAAACATGGACCTATAATCTAAGTGCAGATGTTATTTGTTATATTTCGGAGACACCAAGTGAAAAGCACAAATCAGTAGGGTTTTTTTTTTTTTTTTTTTTTCCAGTTTGTTGTTCCTTCAGAACAGAGGATGGTCAGAAATTTCCTGAAGGGACAGCAGTGTTCCATAAATTCTGTGATTAAACATGCAGTTTCAGCATTTGCACCTGAGCTGTGCTTATGTTTGGTTTTCTACCTTTCCTCCATTGGGCTAACTAGAAATATGTGTGATAACTTTAATGATGACTGATCATTTAAGAAACACTTTAACTGGTATGTTCTATTTCTTAAGACTTTACCTCATGGGACATACATTATTAATGATTCTACCTAAAGTATTGGGAAAGAGCCTGTGCAGAATCACCAAGGTCCCTTGCAACAGTCAGGGTTTGCATTCCTACCAATCTGTTTGCTTTTAATCATATCTCTGAAGACCGCTCCCTCCAGTTGGCCCCAGACTGTAGTTGAACCCACTTTTTCAAAGAATCCTTTACTCTTGCAGATCATGAATCTGTTGGCCTAGGAGACTCCCTATGGGCCCTACATAGCAGTGCTGTCCTGTGACAAATTGCATTTGCAGTTCTAGAACAGGCTGGGGTTCCACATGCAGAGATGTGTGAAACAGTTGTGCATCTTAAAGTAGAGCAGTGATTTGATCCTGCAGTTGGGAACATGACATTCCCCTTCTTAGAACTCTCCGGTAGTTTCCAATCATCCTTAGTCTAAAGGGAAAATTTATCCAAAGCCTGTGTGTCTGAGCTGGATGACTGCCCTCTGCAGCATCCCCTCCAGCGACCCTCCCCTCTTTGCCATCCCAGTTCCTTTAGCTGTTCCCGTCTGCCTTGTGTCCCCAACCCCCACTTTGGAGTATTCACACTTGCCCCTTCCTTTGCTGAGAACGCTTTTCTGTCTCAGCAATCCTAAATAGCGACTGAGCTCAATGAGCCTCCAACGTGCGTATATGTAGTCAGAGGAGCTTGGAGGGAGGGCACACCAGGAAGTTCTGTTGCTTAGGCAGGTGCCTGTGGCTGTTTAATGAAGGTGTTTTCATGGCTGGAGTAAGCATTTGCTAATAGCTGCTTTAAAATGTTTTCCAGCCTAGCATTACTAGCGCCATGCTGCCAGCTCTCTCAGCTCATGCCTGGGAGCCTTGCAAGATGTAAGGTGTTTTTTTTTTTTTAACAGGTGGTACACAATTCAGAAGGTACCAAAGCTGTGTGTAGGAAAGAGTAAGTCTCTCTCCAGCCCACCCCCAGCCACCTTGTTCCACTCCTGGCAGGCACCCGTTGTTCCCAATTTCCATGCACACCCTGGGTGCACGAGCATGTATGCATGGTCTTTACAAATGTAAATGTAGTGTATTACGTGGACCATTCGGTCCCTTTCTTTTCCCCCTTAACAATCTATCTTTGAACCCCTCGATATCAGTACAGAAAAGAACTGCTTCTTGTTTCTAAAAGTTCTTCAGTATTCTCTTAGTAGTACTGTAGTGTATTTAGCCAGACCCCATTGTCGGACATTTCAGTTCTTTCCCTTCTTCTCTGTTGCAAGTAATATTGTGACAGTAACCTCCCAAATTGTTCTTGCTCATAATTTTTTTGTGGTCATATTTACCTTCAAATTTCATATTTATCTCCAAATGTTAAAGAATGAGATTTTTGTGTTTAATCAGTGGCATAGGTTTAAAAAGGTCAGTGGGTCCTGCCCAAAGAGGTCTTGGGAAGAATTCGGAGCTATGTCACTAGGAGTGCTCTCATGGGCTTGCCCGTAGGCAGCAGCTTGCATGGTGGGTCATTTAAGGAACTGATTTTGAGAAACAGTGTTATAATTTCTGTGAGGAGCGCAGCTGAGGGATGTGGTCTTTATGTGATACAGAGTCCTTGCTGATTCGGGGACACAGCTTTAACAGTAAGTGCACAGGACCCAGTGGCACATCTTATAGGCACGAACCACCTTCTTGGTTCCATCTGATGAGTTCTTTCCCCAACATGTCCCATTTACTCCAGTTTCCGCAGCTGTTTTTATCTTGTGGGATGTGGTTTTGTTCATTGGCTTTCGTTAGTAGAAGCAATATCTAACATGAGGAATGAATATAAATATTTCATTAATCTCTTTATAGCACGGTGGCTGTCTCATAGGTACTCAATATATGTTGAATAAATGAGCTTTGCTAATTGTTTAATAGGATATGAGGAACTTGCGACTTGCTTATAAACAGGAAGAACAGAGTAAACTTGGGATATTTGAGAACCTCAACAAATACGCGTTTCCTCTTTCCAATGGGCAGGTCAGTGCACCCAAATAAACCTTTTTTGCATGTTTTTGTGATGGGGGGGGTGTCCAAAACTCATGTTTAATTATTCCTTTTTTTCCAGAGTTTTCTTTCTTCTCCTTTCTCTGTTTATAACTAATACTAGGATATTTAAAATTTGTCACTTCTATGTAATGATTAAGAAAACTGCCAATTTGTTGCTTCAAAATTTATGGATTAAAATAGAAATCTTAATACATTCAGCTATGAGCTGAATGAGGAGCTTTAATATTGAGTATATGATATAGCAGAGACATTGACATGCGTATTGTTTTTTGTATCCAGACTCTCTTTGCATTCAACTACAAAGAAAAATTTCCAATAAACGGATGGAAGGTTTATGATCCAGTATCTGAATATAAGAGACAGGTACAGTATGTTGCTTATCAAACTGGAAATACTGGGTTGAGCTTCTTTTTCCTTTTCTCAGAGGTTAAGAATGTAGTGGAGAAGAAGCCATCGGTATGACTCCCTTAGCTTGTCTGCTCTTCATCTCCAGGATGTCCCATTCTCCTGATGCCAGACCTTTCATTATGCTGTTCTTTGTTCTTTTTCCAGAGGCCAAGTGGAGTACAAACACAGGGGCTTACAAAGCAAATTGGCTGGGATGGGTTTTTTTTTTTTTAATTAAAAAAAATTTTTTTTAATGTCTTATTTATTTTTGAGAGAGAGACAGCATGATCAGGGGAGGGTCAGAGAGAGAGGGAGATACAGAATCTGAAGCAGGCTCCAGGCTCTGAGCTGTTGGCACAGAGCCTGATGTGGGGCTTGAACCCACGAACCATGAGATCATGACCTGAGCTGAGGTTGGACACTTAACCAACTGAGCCACCTAGGCGCCCCTGGGATGGGTTTTATTAGATATTCTGGTAATGAGTTGGTGAGTAAGCATCAAACCAGTGGCTTACATTAGATAACATGTGTAGTCTTCAGTGTGCTGTCAGTTTGAAGATACTCCTGTAACAGACTGTTTTCGTGACATTTAATCTTTGCCCCCACTGTATATTTGGTATGGTGGTTTACATTACTTATTTTATAGATGTTTGTGAAAAGGTTCTGTATCTCTAAACAACTTTCATAGATTTTTCAAAAACAACACCATCCTCATTCTATATAGAAAACAGAACAAGAGGGGCACCTGGGTGGTTCACTTGGTTGAATGTCTGACCCTTGGTTTCATTTCAGGTCATGATCTCATGGTTTCATGAATTCGAGCCCCACACTGGGGATTTTTCCCTCCCTTTTTTCCTGTCCTCTACTCATGCTGTCTCTGTCTCTCTCTCTCAAGATAAATAAATACACTTTAGGGGCTCCTGGGTGGCTTAGTCGGTTAAGCGTCCGACTTTCGCTCAGGTCATGATCTCGCGGTTCATGGGTCCGAGCCCCGCGTCGGGCTCTGTGCTGACTGCCAGCTCAGAGCCTGGAGCCTGTTTCAGTCTGTGACTCCCTCTCTCTCTGACCCTCCCCTGCTCACGCTGTCTCTCTCTCTCTCTTTCCTAGAAATAAAAAAAAAAAAAAAAACAAAAAAACATTAAAAAAAAACACTTAAAAAAAAAGAAAACACAAGAAATATACAGGATTGGGATTCTAGTATATAATTTCCATTTTAAAATAGGTTTACAAATTCTTCTGTTTCATTACATTTTTTAACATGGCTAAGAAATGGATTATGTTAGATAAATATATATTTAAACTATTAAAGTAGCAATGAACAACAAAGTATAAATGAATCTTAGGGGAAAGTAAGGAATGGATGTGGTTCATGCCAAGTACTTTTTGAAAGTGTAAAAGTTTGCTCCCCCTCCTTCTCTAATGCGCTGCAGGGCTTGCCAAATGAGAGCTGGAAAATATCCAAAGTGAACAGTACCTATGAGCTCTGTGACACCTACCCTGCTGTCATTGTCGTGCCAACTAGTGTAAAAGATGATGACCTTTCAAAAGTGGCAGCCTTTCGAGCAAAAGGCAGAGTCCCCGTAAGTAAGAAACGTCATCACTCGGGCATAAACACATACTGTATGAGATCTAACATGGAACGACCAAGGCAAAAAGACTAGTGAACAAAATAGAAAGTGGAAAACTAAGTTGAAAAACCTCAAAAGGCAGCTGAAAATGAGGACAGAGCAGCAAGAAAGAGTGTGCTGTTGGATTAACAGTGTATGCGTCTCTGGTTTCTGCGCGTCCTCTTAGAGCAAATACGCTTCCTTAGATGCTAAGCGGAATACTACAGCTGCACGCCAGGGACGTCATTACAAATGTAAACATAAGAGCCAGCAGGGGGTGAATTGTTTTAACCAGCTTGATTGAGGTATAATTGATATACAAAAACCCACACATGTACAGCTTGATGTCGACCATATGTATATATACACCTGTGATCTTCTCCGCATAATCAAGGAGGGAGTGAGCGTTTTTGTGCTCAGAGTCTGTGGTTGGGTATAATCCCCAGTCTCTTGGCCGCTTGAGGAAAATGAGAGGTGTGAGGGCATAGCTTCCGATCTGGTAAGGGACTGTCTTCACCTTGCCCTCATCCTGCCACGTATGTGACGGTTTAGATACAAGATGTTTTTAAACTGGGAGACAAAATAAAAGTAATCATTCAAATAGGAGTGGGGCTTGACATTAGTCATAGTTTGACTTAGTTTCTGTTTTTCTTAGAATACAATTTTAGTGGTATAAGGGGGTTTTTGGAGCTTATCTAGTCAGACTCTTTCTGACCTGACTCAAACAGCGAGTTCCGTGGCCACTATCAGGCTCTACTTGGTTTTACCCCTCACATTTGAGGAAAATATGCAGAAGAAGCTATACTTGAAAAGGAACTCATTTTTAAGGCATGGTGATCAGGGGAACCATACTAATGTTTGTTGCTTATAAACACTAGGTGTTATCATGGATTCATCCAGAAAGTCAGGCAACGATTACCCGTTGCAGCCAGCCACTTGTGGGTCCCAATGATAAACGCTGCAAAGAAGATGAAAAATACTTGCAAACAATAATGGATGCTAACGCACAGTCTCACAAACTTATCATCTTCGATGCCCGACAAAACAGTGTCGCTGATACCAACAAGGTATACTCTCAACAATGTTGCAGAAAAGGCAAATCTTTTCTTATGCGGTGGCCGTAGATTGTTTTGTGGTTCAGTTACACTGCTGAGTTCCTCCCCACTTGAAGGTGGGCTCTTTTGGAGCCGCCCATAGCTGTCCGGCCCTGGTATATGGCCTGTGGGGCTACGTGTGGGGTTTGTCTCATCGCTTCTCCACAATCCTGTCTGCTCCACTAGTTCAGCAAAGACCCGGAGAGAGAATTATCACCTAAAGAATCAAGTAAGAGTTTTAATGAAATGATGATGAGGCCATTGGAAGACCCTTTAACCTGGAAATATGGTGACTACTTGATTAATTCATATGTGTTCTGAAGCTCTGTTAGAATGGGGTCACCTGTGTGCAACCAGGCAAATACACAAAGTTTCCATAAGTCACAGGCAGGAGTGGCGTGGCATCTGCACACAGCTCCCATTTGATCCCCACTAGCTGAAGGGGACAAGATCCTTCATACCCAGTCATAGCTGTGAGGACACGCCTCCAGCACCTGCCCTCCAAGTAGGCTTTTCAACTGCATCATTTCCTTGACGCATTGCCCACGAATGACTTTCCAACAGTTACTGCAGGTGTGCATCTGGCAGTCAGAGGATTAGGCTCTCTCTGTAAGTAATTTCAGGGATCAGGAAGGTGACAACAGCCTGTACTGCGTCATGCTTACTTGTGAGATGACTCTTGGGTAACAGATGTGTGATGAGCACTTAGTAGGGGCAGGTGCTGGAGAATACGATGATGGACCAGGCGAGGTGTGAGCTCAGCATGCACGGGGAGCCAGGAGAGGGCCTGGCTAGCCCTGCTTGTGACCTTGGGCAAGGCTTCATGGAGGAGGAGGCATTTGAGTGGCCTTGGGTGGTTAGTGAGAAGAGATGGGCACGGGTCGCTATCTAACAGTGTCGCAGAGCACATTGCTCATGAGAATGGCATGCAGTAAGACGTCTGAGGGTGTGGTCACTAATCCCATGACCAGCCCATGTCCCCTCAACAGTGCTTGGGGCTGTCTTTCTCTCAGCAGCTTGTGCCTGTTCTCTCTACAGTGATTATTCTGTCATTGACCACAATCTCCAAAAACCCAGCCTCAGAGCTCCTCTGTCTCACTCTTGAGAGAAGCTGTTACCTTCTACTTTGTAGAGCAAATGAGGCAGAGGACATGGCATTTTCCCTCAGCACTTGGGTACCTGCTGTGTGTCAGAGCTTGGGGAGAGACACACTGAGCAAGTAGTCACGCAGTCTGCCAAGTGGCCATCCGGTGTGGAGTGGAAGACTATAAAGCGTGCTCTGAGAGAGGATAGAACAACCCTGGTTATTTGCCCCATGACCCTGGGCAGCGACTTCATCCCTCTCGACTATAGTTGCCTTATCTCTAACATGAAACTGATGGTATGCCTGCTTCCTGGAGTCCATGTGAAGGAAGTACTGTAAAGGGCCTAGGATAGGGCCTGTCCCGGAGAAAGCATTTGGTTCATGTTAGCCATCACCGTTTCTGACCTCAGAGTGAAAATGCTCTGTCCTCTTGGCCTTCATGACATCTCAGCCCTTGGATCCCTGTCTGTCTCATACTCCTTCACTGGCTCCTCTCCCTCTTCCCAACCTCCAAATGGTGGTGCTCCTTGAACTCCATCCAGGCTCCTCTTTTCTACTTTGCACCATCTCCCTGGGTCATCCCCTCCGGTGCCGTGATTCCAGACATCCTCTGTATGTTGAATTTAGCACCCAAGTTTCTGTGTCGCCCTGATCCCTCCTGAAGTCAAGACAGCATTTCCATCCCATTGCCTGGTTGACATCTTCACTCAGCCATCTCCCAGGTAATGTCAGTGTGTCTAAATCAGCCTAAGAGGTGGGACCATGAGAACCCTTGGCTTCCTAATCTGTTCTGCTAGGCCTTTCCTCCAGGCTCTGCCCTTTGGTGCCCTTGCACCCTGTCCAGGTTACTGACCTCTCCATAAGCCCCAGGTGCCTCTCCTGTAAGATAGGAGATGGCAGTGTGCAACACAAGGTGCGTAAGCATGAAAACTGAGAAGGATGTATGTGGTGGCCATAGCGCATGATGCCCCTGAGCTCATTGCCGCAGTTGTCTGGCCGGGGGGTGGTGGGCGGTGACTGGTGGTGCCAGTTACAGAGATGGGCAAGACTGGCAGAGGAATGGGGCGGAGAAGGAGATGGGCAGGAGAGTCCTGTGTACGTGTCCCTGTACAAATTAGCACAAACACCTAGGTGGCTTACAACAAAACCTATTTCTTCTCTCACAGTCCGAGAGGCCAGAAGTCTGAAATCTGCCGACGCTGTGCTCCCTCTAAAGACTTCAGTGGAGAGTCTGTTCCTTGCCCCTTCCGGGCCCTGGAGGCTGCTCTGTGCATGTAGCCACAGCGTGCCCATCTCTCCCTCAGCCCTCACATGGGCTTCTCGTCCATGTGTCTGTGTCTTCCCTCCTCTCTCTTCTGAGGGTACTTTTGATGGTGTGTAGGGTTCGCCCAAGATAATCCAGGATGGTCTCTTCATCTCAAGATCCTTGACTTTATGACCTTTGCAAAGACCCTTTTTCTAGAAGAGGTCACGTTCACAATCACCCAGGATTTGGTATAGATATCCAGGGTTGGGGGGGGGGCGGGTTTCAGCCTTCCACAAGGGGTCATTCTTGATTAGTTCCCCATGCTTCCACAGCTGGTGGGTTATTAACCCTGTCCGTCCTTCCACTCGTCTGCAATGTCGCAGTACTATCCCAGGGCAACGAGAAGGCTGAGAAACTCTGTACTCACAAAGGCGCTCTTCCAAACACCCGACAGAGCAAGGGTAGCCCGCTGTGTGTGATGTCATTTGCGAGACATGGAAGCAGGACACCAAACTGCATGTCTATGATGATTTTAACTGTAGTGGTGTCTAGGAACTGAGCAAGGACATTTATTGGTCTAAGTCCCTATTAGCTCTTGTGCATGTAGTATCATGTCACCTGCAAGTAGAGATACTTTATTTCTTCCTTTCCGATCTGGACGCCTTTTATTTCTTATTCATGCCTAATTTCCCAGCAAGAACCTCTATCTAGAGCCATGTTACACAGAAGTGATGCAAGCAGACAGCCTTGTCTTGTTCCTAATCTTAGGGGGGAAGCTTTTAGTCTTTCACCATTGGGTGTATCAGCTGTGGGTTTTTCAACATGCCCTCATTGGGTTAAGGAACTTCCTTTTTATTGTTAGTTGTTTTGAGTGGTTTTATCATGAAAAGTAGTCGATGTTCAGAGGCCTTTTTTGTATAGAGATGATCAAGTGTTTCTTTTTTTCTAGATTTTAGTAATCTTGTGTATTATACTGACTGGCTTTTGTATATTGACCACTGTAGTGGGTTGAATAGTGTCTCCCAAAAATTCATGCTCATCTAGAACCCCAGAATATGACCTTATTTGGAAGTAGTCTTTGCGTATGTAATTAGCGAAGATGAGGTTATACTGGAGGAGGGTGGGCCCTAAATCCAGTGAATGGCATCCTTGTAAGAAGGCCACATAGAGACACAGACACAGAGGGAAGGTGGCGATGTGACAACGGAACAGAGACAGGAGCACCACAGCGGTATGCCAAGTAGCACCAAGCATTGCTGCCAGCCGCCAAGAGCGAGGCGTGCGGCACGGTCTCCCTCAGAGCCTCCAGAGGGAAGGAAGCCAGTCGCACATGTCAGTCTTGGACTTCTAGCCTCCGGAAGTGTGAGGGAATAAGTCTGTGTTGTTTTGTGCCTCCTAGTTTGTGGCACTTTGTTGGTGCAGCCCTAGGAAAGTCATACAACCCCCTTACGTTCTTGGAGTAAATCCCCCCCGGTCATGGTGTCTAATCTCCTTAACATGCACCAAGATGCAGTTTGCACGTGTTGGGTAGGGGTTCCCTGCAGTGTGGTATCCACAGCATGGCCAGAGTGATCATCTCAGTGTCTGACTCCACGCACCCCCTCGGTGCCTTGGGGCAGCGACATCTAGTTCCTGAACGGGACCTCAAAAGCCCTCCCCCAGCTCAGCCCTTCCTTCCTGTCTCCACAGCTCCCAGGGCCACGTCCCCGCTGTGGGCCGCTGCTTTCAGTTCCCGTAGCTTGTCCTGCTGTTCCCTCAGAGCCTTTGCCCCCACAGCTAAGCACTCCCCCATCCTTGAGATGACACTTCAAGTGTCGCTTCCTCAGGGAGGTCTTTCCAGATGAGTGGAGTTCCCCCTGCGCTGTGGCACCCGGCATGTTTTGTGGCCCCGAGCATGGTAGCAGTTCCTCACTCAGTGCGTGGCTCACAGTTGGGCTCTTGGCTCCGTGGTGGCAGGGACTGCTGTGAGGATCCCCAGAACCCAGCTAGGACATAATAGCTGCTCCATGGCTAGAACAAGGGGCCAGCTGGTGGGTCAAGTTCGTCTCTCACTAGCTAGTTGCCATGTAGGGGACCTGATGGTAGGTGGCATTGTATGTTAATGCAAATGTCCAGACTCCATTGCAGGACCGCTGTGATGTCACCAAAGGGTTTTGACGTCCAATTGTTTCTTGAGAGAGTGAAAATGGGAGGAAGGAATTTAGTTTTAACTGTTGTATTTTCAGAGCCTGTATGGGGAAGAGAAGGCTCTGGAGCTCAGAGAAAAGTCAGGTTGAAGGTTAAGGTAGGGGCCCAGTAGTATGCTGGGTGGTGGTTGCAAGCTGGGGTCAGGCAGTGGTGAGGCCACCAAAGGAGTCCAGGCCATGTGAGCCATCTGTCGAGGACAGGAGACAGATTAGGGAGGAAAGGGTGTTTCAAGTGGTGAGAGGAGACCCCAAAGAGGGAGGGAGGGAGCGAGCGGCTCATCCTAGGTGCCAGGTGAGGAGTGTCTAGTGGGAGAACTGGGAGGGAGAGGGCTCTTAGCTCAGGGTGCTCCAAAAAAATATCATTGGCTCGTGGCCTGTGAACAACAGACGTTTCTTTCTCACAGCTCTGGGTGCTGAGAAGTCCAAGGTCATGGTAATAGCAGACTCTGGTGAGAGCCCACTGCCTGGCTTGTAGATGGCCACCTTGTTGCTGTGTCTTCACACTGCCAAGAGCAGAAAGAGGCACTCTCTCTTCTGTCTCTTATAAGAGCATTAATGCCTTCATGAGGGCTCACCCTCACCACGGAATCTCCTCCCAAAGGCCATACCTTCTAACACCATTGTTTTGAGGATTAGGGCTTCAACACATGGATTTGCAGGGATGCAAATATGCAGTCCACACCTGGAGAGAGAGATGTGTGGGCTCTGCAGTCTGAAGGTGTGGGGACCCTATCCCACCACTTCATGCCTTTGGCCCTTGGCAAGTTGCCCGCCCTCTAGGAGGCTTCCATTCTGTCACAAGGGAGCCCTCCCTGCTGAGGAGGATTGGCAGACTGATGGACTGACAGCCTGCTAGGCCTTCACCAACTGTGAGCCAGCTAGCTGGTCTGAAATCGGAGAAACTTGAGTCCATCCTTCAGCTGACTGCTCCCTGGGCATGTTTGGGTTTCTTTTTCCCACAAGGGCCGGGGATGGCCCTGCTGCCACTGCTGTCAGCTTATCCTTGGGACCTTAGGGGCCGGTGGGTAACAGTGTGCCAACATCTCTGGCTTCTCTCCAGAACCCTGCTTTGACCCCATACAGGGAGGTCTGGTCAGCAAACTCTTGTCTTCCAGAATGTTCTGAAACCCCTCCCCCTGTTCCTTCTGGGGTACAGGTGGGACCCCTTCTCCCCTCCTTCCCTTTGTCTCAAGACCTCCAGGTGCCTGCTCTCTGCATCCATTTTCTTCCCTAAGCCTAGGTCCCGATTTTCATTTGTCTTATTTGTGTCTTTAGTGATTCGTTTCTGGGCAACAGATTGCCTTTAAACACCTTCTCCTGGTTCTCCTTAGCACATGCTTCCTCCGTGCTGAAGTCCTGGATAAGCTTGAGCCCAGCACACCAGTTCACAGAGCCACTTCCCCGAGCCTCGGGGCTCTGTCAGGTGGCGGCTGGGTCCGGTACGTCAGCCTGGCGCAGGGCTGCACATGGGAGGTGCTCAGTGAGGTCATGTCAAAGTGCTTGAGAATCTTAGGGGTGAGAGGCACCAAGCCTTGTGTGAATTCGCATCATATAGCTGATTTTACTTAATATAATTAGCATTAATTTGCATAGCAGTGCTTGAAGATTTTACACTTCGGAAAGTTGGGGTACAGAGAGATGGGGAGGGCCCTATAACTACTTGGGTGGCAGAGCTGGGATTACAAGCCCGTTTCCCTCCCACTGAAGCCTGTGCCTTTAACCTCTACACTATGCTGTTACTACCTTAGTCGGCAGTGTTCATTGGAAGCTTAGGTTATTTTTGTATGAAAATATAATTATGTCATGGAGGCAGGACTGTGCTACAGACTGTTTTATCCATAGTGGGTGTTCCGGAGTGTTTCCTTGAAGTGAAAGCATCTCCTAGAATTCTGTGGAATAACCTGAAGTATAGCTGGTATCCAAATATATAAAATTCTTCTCCTGCCAGTCACGATCACCACTTGCAAACTTTATCTCCTACTTAGCACCTGCTCCCACGTCCGTGAGTGGGCTTTCAGCCAGCCACCTGCGGTCCAGTCTTCCCCGGAACTACTTATGTTCTGACTTCTTAGATGCAGCCTCTCTTCTCAGATGTCCCACAGCCTGTGCCCAGAGCCTCACTGGCTCTGTCTCAGTCCTCCAGCCAGCACCTTGGCCCCCTGGCCCTTTGGCATCCACCTGGCCCAGGTCCATTCTCCTGCCAGCACCCCAGGCTGCTGAATGTGCCGTGAGAACAGAGGCTCACGGTGTGCGGGTTGGCACCACTCCAGATTCATGCTGGAATTCTGCAGCCGTAGCTGGGCCCTCAGTGATGCTTGGAAGTCCGTCCTCCCAACCCCCACAGGCTCTCCAGAGGCCGCCTCAGCCCCTTCGTGACTCTTGTCTCATGTACGATCGTGCCCCACACCGTTCATCCTCAGCAGCTAATCTTGCCCTTCTGCACAGAGGACACACCAACCCTCAGGACCACTCTCCCCTCCTGCACCGCCTCTGGACCCTACCTTGTACTGCCGTCCATGGAAGACTCCTGTAATGGTGAGGGGGTGCCTTCCTCTCTACCCTCCTTGCTGTGAAGCCTGTCCCATCTACACAGATAGGCTCTCCCTCCAGTCACCACCACTGTCCCCTTCCAGCAGGCACTGCCATTCTCTTGCCCTTTCTGGATGGACCTGTCAGAGGGGATCTCTTGTTACCACCACTCACTTGCCCCTCATGCTGTGTGAGACCAGTTCCATCCTGTCTCTGTGCTCACCCAGTACTTCCTTGTCACGAAATCCATTTCCCAGTTCTTATTTTCCTTGACTTCTCAAGCTTTTGACATAGTTCAGTACTTTTACCTGTTTTTCTTCCAGTCTCTGGCTGCTCTTTTCCATCTCTTTTGCTTTATGCCTTCTTCAGGCTTCCAGCCTATGCTTCTGTCCTCACTTATACACTGTCCTTGAGCACCATATGCTGGTCCCCTGTCCTCCAACATCCTGCACATGCCAGTGACTTTGTATTGGTGGCCACAGCTCAGATCTGTCTTCTGAGCTCCAGACCTGCTGCCCACAGACTCTTCCACTTACGTTTCTCCCAGGCATCTTATGATCACTACGTGCAAAGCCGAATGCTCAGTCCCTTCTGTAATAGTCTGTACCTCAGGAAATGGTGCCACCAACTCTTAGGTCGCCTAGCCTGGAGCCATGGGTGTCCTGGTCTCCTCATGTCCTACCTACTTCTGTTGCCTCAGTCAGTCACCCTGTCTTGCATCTTAAATGTCTCCAGTTGGATGTATGTGTCTGCCCTGCTGCTTGTGCCAGGATTCCCTCAGCCAGATGAGTGCTGTAAGCTGGTCTACTCATGGGGGCCCACCCTCCTCCAGCCCTTCCGCCCAGTGCAGGTCTGATGGTGCCATCCCCACCCTTGAGTGCGGCCTGGCCTCTCCCCCTGCCTCCACCCCTGCCGATGCCATCAGCCCTGGGCTGCCTCTCCCACTGCTCTCACCACCACCGTAGGGTCCTCTCAGCCGAACTTCTTGCCTGTGTTTCGGGAAGCTGTGTCCTTCCCCATCTCTGGGCATCCACACACCACGGCCCCTCTGCCCTGTGTGTTCTTGACCTTCCTTCCCACAGCAGAGCTTTCCTGACTTGTGTTGCCTTCTGTCCGCCTGGGAGCCTCCCAGGCCTGGCTGTGTGTGCCCAGTGTACCCTGTGCTCTCCTGAAACAAAGGACTCGCCCCACTGTGCTGTATGCACCCTCTCCTCACCTGTGTGCCCTGCTGGACTTTGAGCGCCTTCAGGACCAGGGTCTCTGTTTGTTCATAATTGTCACCCACCATTTTGTTTTGGGCTGAGCATGAATACCCGCTCAGTTAGTTGGAGCCTAACTGAAGAGTGTGATCTTTGGGTTCACAGATGCACTCGTTATGTTTTTGGAGATAAAATTCCTATAGTATTAATCTGGCTATTTTAACCATTCCGGAGTTTACAATTCAGTGACTTCTGGTATATTCACAATTTTGTGCAACAGTCCCCACTGTCTAACCCCAGAATGCTTTCATAGTCCCAAATAGAAAGCCTGTGCCCATTGGCAGTTGCTGCCGCTGCCCATTCTCCCCTGCCCCCAGTCCCTGTCCACTGTGAATTTTCTTCCTGTCTGTATAGACTTCCTTGTTTTGGACCTTTCGTATAAATGGAATCCTACAATATGTGGTCTTTGGAGCCTGGATTCTTTCACTCAGTGTAGAGCTTCATGCCCCTGTGTGACTGTGCAATGTTGCACTATATGCCGATGCCACCGTTTGTTTATCCGTGCGTCCACTGATGCACACTTGGCTTGCTTCCACTTTTTGGCTACGGCAAATAGCGCTGCTGTGATCTTTCATGTACAAGTTTTTGTCTCAGTACCTGTCTTCAGTTCGGTGGGAGTGGAACCGTTGGGTTATGTGGTAATTCTATGTTTAAATTTGAGGAGCCACCAAACTTTTTCCCACAGAGACTATACAGTTTTAATTCCCACCAGCAATATATTAGGGTTTCAGTAACTACATTCCCATCATGGATGGATTTTGAATGTTGACCTTTACAAAATATAAGCTAACTATAGGACAGATTTTGTTCAGAGATTACCAGAGATTACCAAAGGGTGAGCCATATCCCCCGTTTTTGTTTCATTTGCATTCTATTTTACTTCAGTGGTTTAAATCTCCCTGTTTGGGATTTACAAATAGTTTGATTATACAGACATGTTGCAGTAGTACAACCTTTTCTGTTTAGACAGATGGCACTAAGAGACAGAACCTTTAAAAATCTAACTTACCTTGAGTTAGATCCAGTTGTTAATGGCTTAGAAACTGATCATGGGTGATGGATGATTGTTATGGGTCGAATCATGTCTCCATTATATATATATATATATATATATATATGCGCTGAGGACCTAACTCCTGGTACTTGTGAATGTGGCCTCATTCTGAAATTAGGTCTTTGTATATGTAATAAGGTTCAGATGAAGTCCTATTGAATTTGGGTGGGCCCTAAACCAGTCTGAGTTGGGTCCTTAGTAGAAGAGGAGAGACAGACCCAAGGGGAAGGCCATGTGACGATTAGGCAAAGATTCGAGTGATTGTCTATAAACTAGGAGCACCTGGGCCTACCAGAAGCTGGAAGAAGCAAAGAATCTTCCCCAAGAGGGTTTTGAGGGAGCATGGCCCTGCCAGAACCTTGATTTTGGCTCTAAATTGGGAGAGGACCTTTCTGTTGTTTTAAGCCCGTAGTTTGTGGTACTTTGCTCCCGAAGCCAGGGGAGAGTCCTGTGAAGCTCAGGAGGCTGATTACAGACAGATGAGCTCGTCATTTCTTTAATGCTCTCCATGTGATAACATTAGAAAGAATGGAACTGTGAACTCAGATGAAGTGGTGTATGTCTTTTGTTTTTCACAGGCTAAGAGTGGGGGGTACGAAAGTGAAAGTGCTTACCCCAACGCGGAGCTTGTATTCTTGGATATCCACAACATTCATGTGATGAGAGAGTCCCTGCGTAAACTGAAAGAGATCGTGTACCCCTCGATCGATGAGGCACGGTGGCTCTCCAATGTGGATGGGACACACTGGCTGGAGTATATAAGGGTAAAGCGGGCTGGTCCTTTACATGCTTTCTAGTTAAGATTTCTCTCTGTACCTGCCATAAATCTGCTCATCCAGATGGTTTTTCAACACTGGAAATAAGCACATGTTTGTTGTTGCAGTTTCCATGGGCAGTATCCAGACGGTGGTCTTTGTTAGAGGGCTTCTGTGACCTAATAAAAAGGGATAATGCCTGCCTCACATCAGGTTTTTAAAGAGTTCCGTGGCCCTTTAATAAAGGACTGTATTTACTGCTGTCAGCTTTCTTCATGTAAGGTGTTCCCCACCCCCAATGTTACAGTTTCTGAGTGATCCTCAGCTGATTGCATTGTTTGGTTTATTGACCTACACTTCCAACATTCTCCACAGTCCTAGAAGTTAAATGCTGTCCTAGAAATTAAATGTAGCCTGCTCTACTGTGCCTTCTTTTCTGAAGATGCTTCTTGCTGGGGCAGTAAGGATTGCTGATAAGATAGAGTCTGGGAAAACTTCGGTGGTGGTGCATTGCAGCGACGGCTGGGACCGAACAGCTCAGCTGACCTCTCTGGCAATGCTCATGTTGGACAGTTATTACCGCACCATTAAAGGCTTCGAGGCTCTTGTAGAAAAGGAGTGGATAAGCTTCGGACATAGGTTTGCACTGGTAAGTTGAGACCTTGCGGTACATGCTTGACTGTTCTTTCCTATGCATGTGTGTATCACACACACCACACACACCTACACACACATGTATACACACACGTGTGGGCTCTCTGTGTCTGACCTGAGTCACTATAATGGAAGACTGTGGACCCTCAGCATTGTATGTTTTTGGTAGGGGACTCTGTTTTTTAAAAAAATTTGTAGTGTAGGTATGTTTTTTTTTTTTTTTTTAATAAATGAAGTAAAATTCATATAACACAACTAACCATCTTCAGGCATACAGTTCAGTGGCATTTAGTACATTCAAAGTATTGTGCAACCACCACTTCTGACCAGTTCTAGAACGTTTCTCCACCCCCAAAAGGAAATTCTGTACCCATTTAGTAGTCACTCCCCCTCTCCCCTCTACCCCAGCCCCTGACAGTCACTAACCTGCTTACTATCTTTCTGAATTTGCCTGTTCTAGGTACCTCGTCTAAGTGGAATCCTATACTATTTGTTTTTCTGTGACTGGCTTATTTCATCAAACACACTGTTTTTAAGGTTTATCTATATTCTAGCCTATGTAAAAATTTAATTCCTTTTCATAGCTGAATAGCATTACCTTGTGTAGATAGATCACATTTTGTTTATCCATTTATGTTGATGGATGCTTGTATTTGCAGCAGGTAGCTATTGTGAATAATGCTGCTATGAACATTGGTATACAAGTTTTTGCCATACATAGTACCACAAACTGAGTAGCTTAGACAATAGAAATGTATTGTCTCACAGTTCTGGAGGCCAGAAGTCCCCCATGGTGAAGGTTCTGGCAGGGTTGGTTTTTCCTGAGCCCCCGCTTCTTGGCTTGTACACGGCTGCCTTCTCACTGTGTCTTCACGGGGCCTTTCCTCTGTGTGCACCTCCCTGGTGTCCCTCTCTGTGTCCAACTTTCCTCTCCTTAAAAGGACACCAGTCAGACTGGATTAAGGCCTGCCCGCCCACCCTCCCTTTAATCACCTCTTTACAGACCATATCTCCACATATAGTCACATTCTGAGGCCCTGGGCATTAGGGCTTCAGGATAGGAATTCGGGCAGTACAACACTCAGCCCGTAGCAGTCTGCTTTCACACTTGGCTCCATCCCTGTGAGTAGAATTGCTGGGTCATCTGGTAGGTATTCTTTTTTTTAAATTTTAAGTTTGTTTATTTAAAAAGAGAGAGAGCGCGCAAGTGGTGGAGGGGCAGAGAGAAAGCGGGACAGAGGATCTGAAGCAGGCTCTGAACTGTCAGCACGGATCCCGACGCATGGCTCGATCCCACGAACTGTAAGATCCTGACCTGAGCCGAAGTCGGATGCTTAACTGACTGAGATACCCAGGCGCCCCCATCATCTGGTAGATATTTTTGTGCTTTAGTTCCTGGTCTTTCTCGGTCATGGAGCCATTGGGGATTCATCTTAACTGTGCATTGGAATACGCCTGAAGCCTCATTCAGATCCACTTCTAGAAAGCAGGTTGGGCAGTGGGGGGCTTCAGTGACTCCCACCACAGGGTACCAAGTGCATTACTGTACATGAGGTAAGGGAAAGGAAGTTCCGCAGGCTTTGAGCCACATGTCCTTTGGGGGCTATTGTCCTCAGCTACATGCCTTCCGTCTCTGTGCCTTGTTTCCCTTCTCAGAAGTGGAGTGTTGTGCAGAGGAGGGGAGTGTGTGTACGTCAGGTGCTTGGGACAGGGCCTGGCCCATGCTTGGTACCTTTTAGTTCCTGTGCTTATTTTAAACATTATCGTGAACTCCTTTGTTCCTTCTCCCTGGGAGAGGAGACCGTGTGCAGTTTCTCCCAATGTTTGTATCTGACCATCTCTCAAGGCACCCAGGGCATTCTGTTCCACCTTCCCTCCCCGCAGTGTGTGTCCTGGGAGACAGGAAGCCAGCAGGGGCCCTTGACTAAGTGGGCAGTGCTAAGGCCCGTCTGTGAGATGCCAGCAGTGGCCCCGCACAGTACGCGTCGGGGCATGTGCCCACGTTATCCCATCCCTGCTTGCTGATGCCAGGGTTCACCATGGTAGTAAGATCCTAAGACGCTTAATGGCTTCACTTTACTGAGCAGCAAGCACTATGTATCCAGCACCATGGCTGTATGTTCTGCTTCGATCCTATAATGTCCCTGAGCGGCAGCTGCTGTAACTGGCAGTTGGGGGGGGAACTGAGATTTCAGGAGTAGGAATTATCTGATCGAGGTCACCCAGCTGTTGAGGGTGGAGCCAGCATCCACCTGGCAGTTTCCAGCCTGCAGCAAGCTCCTTGCTGCCTCCCTCTACCCTCTCTTCCCTTGAGTTTCTGTCGATGAGCCATGTAGGCTCCTATCTGAGGCTAGCTTCTGTTCTTGCCTTCATGTTCCATCGTCTACCTCCTGGAATTTCTCCCAGACCACGCTCTAACCTGGTCTAGAAACCTGCCATTATTTATCCCACTCTGGAAACTGGGCCTCTTGACCCGCCTTCCTCCTCCACCTGGCACAGCACATACCTGCCCCTTCTACAGCAAAGCCCCTCAAAGCTGTAGTCTGTACCCACGATGCTGTTTCCTTCCAGGCTGTCTTGAACTCCCTTCACCAGTCTTCCTCCACAAACACCCACTCCAGCCTGAAGCTGCTCGTCACCACCACCCGTCACTACTACTTGGTCGAGCCCTTCTCTTATTTGGCCTGCGCACTGGAGGCTGTTGGTTCTTCCCTTCTTCTGGAAACCATTTCTTCCCTTGGCTTTTAGGTCTCTATAGCCTTTTGAATTTCCTCCAGTCTTCTGGTCCTCCCTCACTCCCCAGCCTCGTGGTGTTGGGGTGCCCTGGGGCTCAGTTCTCAGATCGCTTCTTTTTTTTTTCTCTGCGTTTAATACCTTAGTGATCTTGAATGGTCCCTCATCTTTAAATAGGTGTGTTTCCAATCTGTCATCTCCTCAGTGCCATTGATGCCCTCTTCCTTCTAGCCTGCCCATCTCCCTTGGAGCTAGGATGGCAGCCTAACTAGTTTCTCTGTCCCGTGTCCCCTTCCAATCCTTGTTCTTGCTACAGCCAGATGTAGCGTTCCAAGAAGCATGTCACCTTCTGCCGCCTACTGCGAATCCCTCTGAACCCTCCCGTGGCCTATGGGGTTGTGGGCAAACTCCTCAGCTTGACATTTGAGGCCTTTGGTGATCTGGCCAAGTCCACCTTTCCAGTCTTGTCTCGCCTCTCATCCCTCCCCTCGCCCCCCCAGGCTGGACTCCTGTCTGGCTACTTACGGTGCCCTTGGCATTCCCCCTCCACGTTCCAGCTGCTTCTACTATAATGTACCCCTGGCCAGCCTGAAAGCAGGCATCTCCCTCCATTTTTCAAGGTTTATCTCAAGTGACCCCTCCTCTATGACTGTTACTTTTGTGACTTTCCTTCCCTCCTCTACCCCATCCTAGATTGGCCATTTGTTCCTTTGTGGCCCCCCCATATCCATCTCAGACTCAGAAACCCTTGGAAAATTTTATTGCCCTTGTTATTTACAGGTCTTTCTCTCAACGAGGCCACAAATGAATTATTCATTTAGCATAAGTACTGTGTTTCATTTGTCTTGGTGCCTCAGGTATGTAGCCAAGAGCCTGGCCTCTACTGGATACTATAAAACTTCCTGAAATTCCAAGAGCCGGGCAAGATGCCTTGTATCCACCATAGGAATTCAATGAATGCCTATTAGAAGAATGAATCCTAAATTCCAAGTGTTCACACAAAACTGTTCCCAAAGTGCCTTAAATACTGAAAAGCAGGCTCTACAAGTTATTTCTGTGAAGGGGAAGTGCAGAAATAAGACAATTGATGCAACTGCTATGGAAAACAGTATGGCAGTTCCTTACCATATGATCCCGCAAATTCTGCTTAGGGGTATAGACCCCAGAGAAGTGAAAACAGACTTGGTATTTACACACCCATGTTTATAGCAGCAGGACTCACAGTAGCGCACATGTAGAAGCAACCCAAGTGTCCGCCGACAGACGATTGCATAAACAGAATGTGGTCTGTCCATACGCTGGAAGTAATATTCAGCTTTAAAAAGGAAAGAATTTCTGACACTTTCTACAGATCAGATGAACTTTGAGGACCTTTTGCTGAGTGAAAAAAGCCAGTCACAAAAAGACATCTGTTTGACTCTACTCCTAAGAGGTCACTAAGTTTCATTCATAGGGACAGAAAGTAGAGTGGTGGGGGCTGGCAAGGAGGAGTTAGTGTTAATGGGGAAGAGTTTCAGATTGGGAAGATGGATGAGTTCTGGAGATTGGTGGTGGGGATGGTTGCAGGGCAGTACGAATGTCCTTAATACAACAGTGAGTTGTATGCTACACAGGGTTGAGATGGCCAATTGAAAAACAATAGAAAAGGAAGACCATATGCTGTGCCTGCGAGGCATGGATTTCCTTGTTTTTATGTCTTTCCTGCTGGCAGACCCACTGTTTCTTGTGCTTTCTCTATGCTGGTTGCACTGTGTCTTCATGAAGGGGTTTGGTTTTTTTTCCCTTTCTTATCCTTTTGCTTAGTTATCAGATTGAGTGTCCTCTTAAAAGGCTCACTCTGGAGCTGGTTTTTAACCTTGCATTTTCAGTATTTTTGTCCTGCTTATGTTTGAAATTCTTTTACCTTTTACTATGAATCTATTAATATGTTCAAAAATACCAAAAGGTGTGAAATATAACATTGGATGTCAAGTATATCTCAGAGCTGCAAACAGAATACAATACTGGACTTCCTTGAGCAAGGACTCCCCACCACCATTTTAAGTGTGAGATTTGGGGGTTCTCTAAGTCGTGTAGAATTGGTTAAAGCTTGTAGATTATTATTTTGATTCTCACACTTCCTGACATTTCTGAAAAATGGGAAAACCTGCTTTTACGCTTGTGGAGAAAATGGCAGTCATAATGTGCTTCATGAGCTGCTAATTGGTGGTCCTACAGTGACACTGTGTCCTTACGGTGGTGGCTGGGCGTGACCCCGTCATTTGGACTAAAAACTTTACTGGCCATTTGTTTATAACTTCTTGATCTCAACTATAGTAAAGTGAAATTATAAAACCATCAACATGGAAAATACTGTACAGTGAAATTTTGTTTCCTAAGAGTAATGGAAGTCAGTTCAATTCAGTGAACATTGTTGAGTGCTTATTATGTGCCAACAATTCTGTTCAGCCTTGGGACATACAAATGAGACCTGATACTTGCAACTAGGTAATTTTAAGTGACTTTATGGAGTATTGTGGCATACGTTAACATGCTTAACTTCTTATTTCTTTTCAGAGAGTGGGCCATGGCAATGACAACCATGCGGATGCTGACCGGTCCCCTATATTTCTTCAGTTTATTGATTGTGTTTGGCAAATGACAAGACAGGTAAGTGATTTCAAGTGTATTTCTGACCTTAAAGTTGAAGATTATATAAAACTTGATGTTCATTCAAAATGAAGACATGCGTATGTATGTAAAAACAGGACCCCTCGCACTATTGAACTCAGTTTGATTCTAATTCACTTAGAAGTAGAAGCAGAACATTAGAAATGATCAGCTTCACACCAAAAGTTCCTTTTCTTGTGCAGATGGATTTTGTGGGTCATCGTGTGCACGTGTGCCCGGTCCTCCTGCTGCTCTTGCTCCCTGTCAGCCAGCGTGAGAGGTCCCCCCTACCAGCGGGGGAGGAGGATGCAGCCAGGTGTTAGAAACGGGCATGTGACTGAACTGCCCTCATGGGAGGGGGCGGTGTTAGACCTGGAACCCAGAAATCTCCACACCTTCCCCAGGCCACAGCATCCCCAGTGCATGGTCAGTGAGGGAAAGGGGTATCCAGGAGGCGGTGACAGATAGGGACTTGGTGGTGCTTAGTTACTGGGTGCCTAGTTTCCCTGGTAAGCGAGCTGGCTGCACAGGGGTCCTCCTCCCCTGAGCTGAGTGGGGCCCGATGGCTTCGGCTCAAAGCAGGAACTGCCGTGAGGCATGTGCTCTTTATTCCCTAGTCTCCAACATCTGAGTCCAAGTTTGGGGTCTTCCCCTCATGATAGAAGATCAAGCCAGAGAGAGGAACTGAGAGAGAGTGACATACAGAGAGGAGTGAGGAGAGAGCAAGACAGAGAGATACATGCAGAGACAAATGCAGGCACAAAAAGACACACAGAGCAAGAGACCAAGAGACACAGACACAAAGAGAGGGACACGGAGAGAATAGGAGATCAGGAGATCCCCCCCCCCCGCCCCCGCCATGACTGTGTGGGGAAAGAGTCCGAGGGTAGAGACCCATGGCTTGGGTGCTCTCCTCTCCTTCCTGTCAGCCCAGAGGTCTGGCCTTAGCTGCTTTATTCACATGAAGTGGACCAGCCAGAAAGACTGCTGGCGAAATCCCTCACCATGAGCCTCTGTACCAATTTAGTGTGTGGGGGGGGTGTTGGGGGGCAGGAGAGAGCTTGAGAGCCACCATGCTGCTGATGCTGCCCCACTCCATCTCAGCCTGGACCCCTTGCGGCAGCGATTCCTCAAGGGCCATCTGGGGGACCCTAACCTCACTCTCCACCTGAGTGCATACTGTCAGCACCTGGAAACTCGTTAAGATGCAGGTGCTTCAGCCCCTCCCCTGCAGACCCTCCTGTGGGCCTAGGGAGAAGCCCTGGTGTGTGTGGTCCTGGAAAGTTCCCCAAGGAGGTTCTGTGGTGCCACTGAGGTAGAAAAGAGCTGCATCCTAGTGCGGTCCTGCGGTAGCCTCAGCTTACCCTGGGGACTTAGAGATGAAAACCCTGAGGCCCACCCCAGGCCTGTTGGCACTGTAGGGAGGGGGGCACTGGATATGGGGGTTTTCTTAAAAGCCAAATTCTGATTTGTCAGTCTGGGCCCCAAAGTCTGCATTTCCCATGGATCTTCCTCAGTAGCAAGGATCTACAGAGAATAGAGGTACTTTCAAAAACCAGAAAAAGAGGGGTGCTTGGGTGGCTCAATCGCTTAAGTGTCTGACTTCAGCTCAGGTCATGATCTTGTGGTTCGTGAGTTCAGACCCCCCATCAGTCAGTGCAGAGCCTGCTTGGGATTCTCTCTTTCCCTGTCTCTCTCTGCCCCTTCCCCCATTTGCATATGTGTGCATGTGTGCGCTTGTTCTCTCTCAAAAAAAAAAAACAACTTAAATAAGAAAAAAGGAAGGGGATGGGCAGGTTCTGATCAGCCCAAGGAGACCTCACAGAGTCCTCGGGCCCACACTTAGAGCTTCCTCTTATTTTTAGGCCCTGCTTCCCCGAGCTGACGGTGGTCTGGCATTAGCTGAGTGCCAGGTCACAGCTGATTCAGAGCAGCCAGTCAGAGGGAAGGCATGGGGCTGGTGGGGGGGTGTCTCAGTGAGAGATAGGCACTGATGGGATGACTAACAGGTGACAGTGAACACATACTCAGGAAGCCCGGAGACTGGCCAGAGGTCTTACTGTAATGTAGCACCATGAACTTCTTGCTGTTTGTATTAATTGAGCTAGTAACAAAATTAAATGATGGTTACATTCAGGTTAAAACAAAAAAGTATAAAATGCATTTTAGAAAAATTGCATTAAAAGGCTGAACACAAAAATAATTCTGATGGTTCTGAGGGGATAAGCACCATTTGTGTGTGCTTTGTGTGTGTGTGTGAGAGAGAGAGAGAGAGATAGAGAGAGACATCGTCAAACTGACTTCCATTCTTCATACTGCTTACTGCCTATTTTCATGTCCAATTTATATAATTTTTGTGCTGTTTATTGGATTTTAAGAAAGAAAAAAAGGGGTGTAGATTAGATTTCAGATGCCTTTCAGTTCTAATATTCTGTCCATGAAATATGTAAAATTAATGTCTCTTAAAACAACGCTGTTAATGCAACAGAAGAAGAAATATCACTGCTCAGTCTATCAGTTAAGTCACAAGTGGATGAGACATGTAGCTTGTTACAAAATATGCATTAATATAATAAGATTAATTGATTTGGAGGTTGCCTACTGCTAAATCAAGTAAGCTAAATCCTCATGAAATTATTAGAAATCTTAGGATAAAATGAACTAGCCTGTGTGCACAAATTGATAGAGAAGGATCTAAGAGAAAAGTAATTGAGGGAACTCTTCAGAAAAGAGTCTCAAACCTTCTACACTAGCCATAATTTAATGGACTCTCTACCCTTTTGAATAGGTTTAATAGTGGTCCATGTTTTTGTTTCTCAAGAGGTGTAGAATTTCATTATGGATTTCTATGGAGTTTTTGAGACCATACTTTTTAGGTATATGATATAGTTTCCACAAGAACAGACCAAAACAAAATCTGAGTCATGACATTTAATCTTTTATTTTTATTACTCTAGCTATTGGTACTTCTTCTAAAATAAATATTTTTGGAGCTGAGCGTAAGGCCACAACGTCATTTGAAGGTGAATAGCAGTCCGGATGGAACATGAGGAGAGCTCTTGTGTTCTGATTTTTTGGGGGCTGACAGGCGTAGGCCGAGTTCCACCCACCCTGACCTCCCATAGCTGGTACCCACTTGGCCAGAATAAGGCTTGTTTGTAGTGAGTGGTACTAGAATACATGCAACCAAGCTCCCAGATTCAGAATGAGTGCTCAGGGTTAGGAATAAAGACTCATTTGACTTAAAAAAAAAATGTGTCCATAAAAGCTTTGATGTCCTGTTAATAAACATATAATTTAAATGTTTGAAAATCTACATGTTCCATTTCTATCCTTGATTTAATAAAGCTCCAGTGTACATAAATGTTAGATATTTGCTTAAAATTAATAAATTTTATGCCAATAATTTATGAATAGAGCATAACTAGACTGCATAGAAAAATGCTGGGAAAAGTGGATAGGATGTACTTGGCCTTTTAAAAGATAGCCATTTACGGGGTGCCAGGGTGGCTTGGTTGAGCGTCCAACTTCGGCTCAGGTCATGATCTTCTGGTTCATGAGTTTGAGCCTCACATCAGACTTGTTGCTGTCAGCCAACCAGAGCCTGGTTTGTATCCTCTGTCGCCCTCTCTCTCTTCCCCTCTCCCACACATACTTTCTGTCTCTCAACAATAACTAAAGCATTTAAAAATTTTTTTTTAAAGATAGCCATTTAAAATGTGGGGCCATTGTTGGAGCCGAGCTGCAAGTTAAAGGCTCAGAGGTTAATCAGTCAGTAACTTCCTTCAGCATTTTGGCCAGATTTAGTTCATCTAAGAACAAGAGTGCTGGTAAGAACCGGCACCACAGCTAGTTTCCAGAAGTTTCTGAAGAAGCAGTATTCTGATGGAGCTCCTCAGAAGACAGTTCTATGTTTCTATGGGAACAATCCTTAGGATGGAGAGAGAGGCATGTCTGAATCCAAGATATAGCTGAGGAGAATTCCGCAAGTTGGCTAATGTAATAAATAGCCTGGTGAGGAAAAGAACAATTTCAGGCAGAGTCTGGACAGTCTTGGATTGACCATTATTTCTAATTGGGAAGCTTCTCCCTATCCTAGTAAAGTAATAAGGCTATCGGTGACCCTGGTTGTCTCTCTAGAGATGACAGGATTAGTCATGATTCTGTGCAAATGTCACTCTGATTGGGGAATAGTTAAATATTGCAAACTGACTTAAATAAAAACATGCTGGGAAGTTCTGTTTGGCTTTGTTCTAATTGGCTCTGCCTCATTCAGTATATAACGAATATTTCACTGTGTTTACTGGCACATGGGAGGCACCCAGTACTTGCCTGCTGCTAGAATCATCATTATTATTATTAACCATTATTGTCATTTCCAGACCGTCTCCTCATGGCTACTAAATGCCAGCTACTGACTAGAAGTTCCCAGCAATGGTAAAGTCTTTGTTGGAATTTGGCAAAAAGCCATTAAGAATGACCTAAAATGATAATTGAGATGATTATGAGATTTTCTTATTCTGTTAATATGGTGAATTACAGTAATTACTGTTTTGAACCTTGATCTTCAAATGTTATGCCAGCCTTGCATTCCTGAGACAAACCCCACAAGGTGATGTTGTGTTACCCTTTGTAGATGTTGCCGGGGTCGGTTTGTTTATACATTAGGAAGGATTTGAGGGTGTATGTTCCTGGAGTTGTTTTTGTGGGAAAGTTATTAATGATGAGTAGTTTTTTTCACTAGAGAATAGATTTTGTTTCTTCATGAATCACTTTTGGTATGTGCTGTGCCCGGGAACCTGTCTCCCTTCTCTGTGACTACAAGGGTTCCCCTGGTAGAAAGCTGGGACCTGAGTTGGACTTGCTTCATTCACCTTCAGTGCTGGGGGTGAGGTCACGGCCTTCTGCTGCCTGTTGCCAGTGTGCAAAAACAGCCATTTCGTGTATTTTGTCCAGCTCTCTAGTGCTTTCTGGCAGAAGGGCGCCTGTGGGCTGTGTTCTGCCAGTATGACAAGAAGTAGAAGCTGCGTTGAAAAGTACAAGTTTCATTACTTCGAGTTTTTTCTCAGCCAGATCTGTAAGCTTGGACTTGAAACTATAGGAAGTTAAATTCCACATGGGCTCAGTCTTCCTTTTAATGTTTGGCTGTATTCAGAGTTGTACTTTAGTGGTCTTTTACAGAAAACTAGTACCGCTCTGTTTTAGAAATTGAACTTTAAACCTTCTTTCTCCACTTAAGTTTCCTTCAGCATTCGAGTTCAATGAACTGTTCTTGATCACGATTTTGGATCACCTCTACAGCTGTCTCTTTGGGACCTTTTTGTGCAACTGTGAACAGCAGCGACTCAAAGAGGTAAGTGTCTGTTGCTTTCCCAATTACTCAGGCGCCTTTCCCACGAGGTGCCACTGTAGAAGGGGACTGGGTGGAGAGGGGACTTGGGTGTAGCTGTGCTGCCATGTGTAAATGGAGGGATTGCACCAGATGCCCTCCAGGCCTCAGCAGCCCTAGCACACGCGTCTAATCTTGCAGGTGGCCTGACACGCACCCCTTACTGTGTGGGGGCTGGGGCCTAGAAAGCCCACAGCTCTCTGATGTATCTGAGTTCTTGTAGGTTCAGCTCTAAACCCTGGAGCCCCTAAACCCCAAGCTCATGTACTTTCTACTGCACCGACTCCAAAATGATGTGATTCTGCCCTTCGTTGTCCATGCCGTTGGGCAGAAAGGTCCTTGGAGGCCTAGGAAGGTGACGTCTGTAGATGAGCCCAGAACTTCCCTCGAGGTAGCAAGCCAGACACTCTTTCCTGTCAGGCTCACAGTGAAGCAGCTGCCGAGTTCCTCACAGTTCTAGTTCTCCTCTTTCCTCTTTGGGATAAAATGTGAGGGAGCTGTGGGGAAAGGCAGCTTAGAGGGTCCTCTGGTTAATAGAAAAGGGCCACTGCCCGCAGGCTAAGCACATTACGACATTGTCGAATGTCAGGGAAAATAGCGGGTCACCAGCACGCACCTCCATCTGCAGCCTCCCCACAGCTGTCCCCCCTCATTCTGTGCCCACACCCCACTCAGTCTCCACCCTTTAGCCCCTCTCTCAGCTGGGAGGCTGCCTGGGCCCAGTCACCGGTCCTCTTCCCCAAACTCTGTTCTCTCTCTAGGATGTCTCCTCTCAGGATCTAAATGCTCCTCCCTCATCTTCTGCCCTTCTGCCTCTCCCCAAAGGGCACCCCTGCCCCTTGAGATGCTAAGGCCCAATGCACAGGAGCCACCTTTGCCTCCTCCCTCACCACGCCCCCAGCTGCCTCAGCTGGTCCCCAGAAGAGATTCTTTGTTAACGTGGCCACTTCTCACTGCTCCACAGCCTAGTTCAAGCCCCCATGGTCTCGCGGCTGGACTAAGGCAGCTACTTGGAAATGCGCTTCGCTCATTTCTGACCTCCAGCAACCAGGGCAGTGTTACCCAACTCCAGTCCCATCCGGCTCCTCTCCCCTGCTTGAAACCTTGCTGTGGTTCCGTCATGATTGCGATTAAGATCCATATTCCTGTTTTGACAAAATAGCCTCTTTAAAAACTCAGCTTTCTTGAGATAGAATTTACATACTACACATTTCACCCTTTTACAGTGTATAGATTAGTGGTCTTTAGTATATTCAGAGCGTGAGTCATCCCCACCAACTAATTTCCTAAACTGCACAAACTTTTCATCACCCCAAAAAGCAACCCCCTACCCATTAGCAGTCACTGCCCATTCCTCCCTCCCCCAGCCCCTGGCAGCCACTGGTCTGCTTTCAATCTGTACGGATTCACCTGTTCTGGACATTCCGTATGAATGGAACCAAACAGCCTTTCTCCTCCTGTGACTGGCTTCTTTCACTAAGCATCATGTCATCAAGGCTCATCCGTGTCTTAGCAGCTGTCGGCACTTTGTTCCTTTCTTACGGCTGAATAACCTCCATGGTGTGGAGAGACCACACTTCTTAATCTAGTCATTGGCTTCTGGGTTGTTTCCACTTTGGGCTCTTACGAATAATGCTGCTGGGAACATTCAGATGTGCAAGGTTTCGTGTGGACCTGTGCTTTCATTTCTCTGGTACATACCTAGGAATAAAATCGCCAAGTCCTATAGCAAGCATATGTTTAACCTTTTGGGGAACCACAGACTGTTCTCCAAAGTGGCTGCAGTGTTCTACATTCTCCCCAACAATGTCTGAGGGACCCAGTTTCCTTACATCCTTGTAGATGCTTGTTATTGTGTGTCTTTTTTATTCTAGTCATCCCAGCAGGTGGGTTTCAATCGACATTTCCTGATTAACTAATGATATTGTGAGCACATTTTCATATGCTCACTGGCCATCTGTTTATTTTCTGTGAACAAATGTTTATTTAGCTCCTTTGCCCAGTTTGAGTTGGGTTGTCTTTATTAGGGAATTGTAAGAGTTCCTGATGAATTCTTGATATATACAAGTGCCTTATTAGATACATGATTCACAAAGATTGTCTCCCATTCTGTGCATTTTCTTTTCACCTTTTTGATGGTCTCCTTTGAAATACAGGTCTTTACTTTTCATGAGGTCCACTTTATTTTCTTTTGTTGCTTGTGCTTTTGGGGTCACGTGCAAAAGCCATTGCCTAAACCAAGGTTGTGAAGATTTAAGCCTGTGTTTTCTTCTAAGATTTTTATAGTTTTAGCTCTTACATGTAGGTCTATGATCCATTTTGGATCCTATGAGTTCCTTTTTCTATACAATGTATGGTAAGGGTCCAGCTTCATTCTTTTGCATGTGGCTAACCAGTCATCCCCGCACTGTTTGTTGAGAAGATTCTCTTTCCCCCATTGAATGGTTTCAGTGCCCTTGTCAGAAGTCAGTTGGCTGTATATGTGAGGCTTTGTTTCTGTACTCTGTTCTCTTCCATAGATTGACTCATCTATCCATCCTAGGCCAGCACCACCAAATGGGTTACTGTGGCTTTGTAGTAACTTTTGAAATTGGGAAGTGTGAGACCTCTACATTCCTTTTTTCAAGAATGTTTTGGCCATTAGGGGTCCCTTGAATTACTGCTGTTGTTTCTCTTATAAATACAGAATATAAAATAAGAAAAGGTCCTGACTGAATTTTCTGTGTCTTAGAGAGCCTGCAAGGAAGTCAGCTGGCTTTACGGTTTTCTGATTTTGACTTTGTCACTGTGTTCAATCCATGTTTCATGTTTATCTGCCTTGCTGTGCCTGAAGTTTTCCGTGTTTTTATTCACATGAGCAATGCAAATAGCTCCAGCATTTCTGAACAGTGTATTTGAAGGTCGGGAAGCGGGGAGATCGAATTTAATGATATATTTCTTCTCTTTGTAAGGCTTCCTCAGGCTGCCACCCTGACAGGTTTTTCCCCAGATGTCCAGCCGCAGTTTTCCTGTGAATTCTATCCCAGCCCTCAATATTAAGACTCACAAAAGCAAACTCCAAACTGGAAATCAAAAAATGTATTTGTTATCGATGGGCCCCATCATCGATAGAAAGTTCTATTAAGTTCTAGAAAGTTGTTGTTGCTAGAAAGTTCTCATCATCCTATGGTTGCTAGAAAGTTCTTGTTTTGCCTTCCACACACACACAGTCCCCAGATGTCCCCCAACTCAGCAATATGTTTTTCCAGGACAGTAACCAGTGTGCGTTTTTATGCCCTCCCCTGCATGAGGTGACACCAGAGCACTAAGGATGGGGGTGGGGCTTAGTAAATGATCTGCACTTTCTCAGCGTCTGAACTCCTTTTATTCAGGTCTTTTTCTCTGTAATACAAATTCTCGAGAATCTGAAAAAAAATGTATTTATTTCAATGTATTCCTTTTTTGTTTTTCAGGATGTGTATACGAAGACTATATCCTTATGGTCATATGTCAATAGCCAGCTTGAAGAATTTTCTAATCCTTTCTTTGTGAATTATGAAAACCATGTCTTATATCCCGTTGCTAGTCTGAGTCATCTGGAACTATGGGTAAACTATTATGTGCGATGGAACCCACGAATGAGACCTCAGGTATCTTTTTGTTCTTCATAAAAGAGTGTAACTTTCTAAGCAAAGATGGTGGTGTGGAAATGAGTTCATGCTAGGAATTGACATGCTCTACTTTTGCCCTCTCTCCGCAGGGTTCAGTCCTCTGCATTCATGTTCTAGCAGCTTTTTTTTCTTCTTTTTTATAAAGTAATTTTTTGAAGTTTATTTATTTTAGAGAGCAAGCAGGAGAAGGGCAGAGAGAGAGAGAGGGAGGGAGGATCCCTAGCAGGCTTGGCACTGTAAGCACAGAGCCCAGTGTGGGTCTCGGACTCACGAACTGTGAGACCATGACCTGAGCTGAGGTGGACGCTTAACTGACTGAGCCACCGAGGCATCCCTAGCAGTTTCTTTTCATACACCAACCCAGGTGCTGTTTGCTGGGTTAGCGCAAAACATCTGAGCACGTCTATCTTTGCTCAAGGTATATGGATGAAAGAGTACTGGTTACTGCGTATGACTTTTAGTCTTTCCAGTGACTTAGTGAGTCTGTAGACTTTGGTAGCACAGAAGAAAGAGGCCATGTGCTGAGTCCCAGACAGGCCACCCTTGAAGAAGGGGTATTCTCCCCTCCCTGCCACATTCTCATTATAACATTTCCTGAGACTGAGACAAATAGCAGAACGATGCACAGCAGGACCAGGCAGCCGAGCTGTTTGCCCTTGGCTTCCAGTGGCTGAGCCTGGGCTGTGGTTGAGGCACCACCAGTTAGGGTTCCCAAGGTGCTCCCCCAAGCCTGTGCTCTGCTGATCCTGCACTGCCCCCTCTCGTCCACGTGGGTGGCACGTGGGGGGGCCACAGTCCATGGGTGGCCGGGTGCAGTCAGTGGTAGGTTGGGGGGGTAGAGCAACGGAGGCAGCCCACCCCTGCGGGGACAGAGGACTTTCTACTGAGGTTCTTTGTAGGTGGAGTATTCTTTAGGTTTCCTGGCCGCCTGCCAGGAGCAGGTTTCTGGGGCCTGGTTTAACAGCATCGCTTCTGTCAGGCACAGGTGTGCACACCTGTCCTCCGGGCTCTCCTCCTCAGTGCTTCTTCTCGCTCAGTGCCTTCATCAGCTTCCTGGGTGTGTTCCGGCTCTCGGTTCGCTGGGCCTGCCGTTACCATGTACCACACATGGGGCACGTAGGCAGTGGAGACATCGTCGTCTTCCAGTCCTGGAGATCAGGGTGTTGACTAGATTGGTTGCTTCTGAGAGCCGTGAGGGAAGAGTCTGTTCCTGGCTTCACTTCTTGGCTCACGGCTGGCTGGCTTCTCCCTGTCTTCACATCGTCTTCCTCGCATGTGTGCGTCTGTGTCCACATTTCCCTTTGTAAGGACACCGGTTGTACTGGAGTAGGCCCTGCTCTGATGACCGCGTTATAACCTGATTACCTGTGTAAAGCCCTGTCTCCAAATACGGCCACGTTCTGTGGTACTGGGGGTACGACATTAACATAGGAATTTGGGGCAGTCAACCCGTAGCAATCCCTGAGCCCCTCCAACTGTGGAGACCTAATTCTGTTTCACTTTTCAGTCACCTGGAGTTTGAACCTCGGAGGGACCATCACTTCACAAAAACTCCCACTGTAGATTTAGCTCCAGCACGTGGTTGCGTGTGCACGCCACTGGTCCTCTCCTGACCTGTTCCGCTCCCAACGGCACTGTTCCGGCTGCTTCTCACTTCCCTCTCTCTCTGTTTCTGGCGCTTTCTGGTCCACAGAACTTCAGCTACAGAAGACCTTTTCTCCTCTAGACCCTCTGAGTTGGCGCCGGACCATTTTCCAGAACACCGTGGTCAGGGCCTGCCCAGCCCAGTGCTTGTCTTTCTCTCGGAGCAGGCCCTGCACCTAGGCATCATGCCCCCCTCTTCCTCCTCGTCTGACGGACTCCACGTCCCCAGGGGTGGCCTGTTAACCCCTCGACTCTGGCTTTGTCTGCTTCAACCTCTCACCATGCCAATAGCTGGGCCTCTGAGAACCTTCTTTAGGAAACCTTCCCCAACCTGAAACTTCCCTCTGTTTACTGTGTGAGGGCCTACCTGCCGTCCTTGCGTACTAGGCGTAAGGGGCCATTAGCTGCTCCCTGTGTATGGCACTAAGTGCTTTGCCACTGGTACAAGTACATCAACGTGAGGGGGCCGCGTTGCCAAAACGGCCAGAGCACATTTCTAACCACCAGATAGATTCTTGGTTTACTGCTAACTTTTAAGTTACAGATTTTCTTTACTGAAGAACATCTGAAGTGGGGGAGACCTGGTCTCTGTTCTTCTCTCCATAAAAACAAACATTATACATAGAGTCAAGTTCTTTGCTCAGTGGTTAATGTTTTAAATACAGGTTTTCAATGTTATTTGTGGCCGGTGAGCCATCAGTAACTCATTTCAGATGTTGTGTGCTTCTGCCTGTGTCGGTAGCATGCATCCTGTTAGCTCTGTGGCGTCTACACCGAGTGCCATGGAGTTAGCTGACCGTTGCCTGTGGCTCCAGAGAGCCTCCTCACAAGCATGGTCCCCGAACCCTTTTCTCTTCTGAGTGACCCATACCTCAGGCAACTCCCCATTACCTAGTCACGTGGCTGAAGTTGGCCTTATGATGGCCCTGGGCCCAGGGCTGGCTTCCCATAGCCACCCAGTGGCTCCAGCTCCCCATGCCTTCCATATCCCTGGCCCCCACTGTCCCATCATCTAAGCTCCGGGTTACGCCTGTCAGGCTGCAGTGACCAGCTTATTTCTATTTGTGTCTCAGACTTTGTATTCTGTGAGCGTAGGCCTCTGCCGTAACATTCGCTTGGTATCAGATTGAATCCTCCCCCAAATGAGCACCACACGTGAGAGAGAACGGCCTCTGAAAATGGGTGCGGGCCCAGAAGCATCGGGAGCCAGAGGTGGCCAGCCCCGTCAGTGGCTTCTGCGGGGGCTCACAGCTGAGGCAGTCTGAGTGCGGGTGCACTGCCCTTCTTTCACAGGGGCCGGCTTCCAGAACCACACTCCTTTCCAACCTCCGCAGCTTTATTTTGGAATGCCAGACCTGGGGACCCAGTAAGCACTTCTTTCCTGTCACTCCAGTCAATTTCCCTTAAGAACCCAAGCCAGCACCTGCCTCCCTGCAGATCCCTCCTCACCGCTATGTGCTTCTGTCCTCCTCAGGACCTGTGCTGGTTCCTTCTCTCCCGGGTGGTTCTATTTTGCGTCCTTGATCCTTCGAACAAAGAAGATGGGCTATAGCATAGAGTGTGGGAAAGGGACACAAAGGACAGGGGTCAGGGGCCGTCTTGAATCTTGGCATGGAAAGCCCACACGGACGCTGCTGGCGGAACGAGGGGTGCCCACTGGGCCCCAGCTCCTTGGGGTGGTACTAGCTCCCCTCAGTCTCTGAAACCCTGCAAGCCACAGGCCGCCTCCCTTTCTGACCACGCTCAGATCCTTACACGGGTGCGCAGTCAGCTTCATCATGGCCGTCACAACGGTCACAGGAACCGGAGCGCTCACTGCTCCCCCCAGCAGGCCTCTGGGCGCCCGGGGACACTGATGACCTCCTGTCGGGCAGAGGGAAGGGCCAGAGGAGCCATGGCTTGTCACGTTCTCGCCACCAGGCACGTGCAGTCACAGAAGGGCAGGGCGCCAGCCAACCAGGGCCAAAGTCCCTCCCTCGCAGTGGCTCCATGCGTGTTGTGGGCGAGGTCCCGGGCCTCGCCGAGACCTCACGTGAGCAGGAGCACAAGCGTGATGTGGGTCCCTCCAAAGTGCCGGTCCGGGCTCTCCGCGCTCCCCTCGCACCGTGCAGTATGGAAGGGACAAGCAGAAGGTGTCCCGAATGTGGCTGGCACAGAGGCGTGTTGGGGAGCAGGCTGGGTCCGGGGGGTGTCAGAGGCCAGAAAGGTGGACAGGACAGGCCGCCCAGGGTTTGTGGGACAAGCTCACGGCACTAAGCACACAGGACTTAGGGGGCGAGGAGGGCTGTGGCAAAGGGGTTGGCAAGAAGGCTGGTGTCAGTGTGATGGGCGGGGCTGGGGAGCCAGGCTGGGCAGAACGGAGGAGGGCTGGGGAGGAGGGGCAGGGGACTAGCCTACTTGGCCCCTTCTCTCTCGAGGAGGAGGGGCCTAGATTGGCTGCCTTGAGAGCAACTCCCTGGGCATCCGTCAGAGGATGGCTGGGTGGGGAGGGGGCCAAGCGGCTGTCTCGTGTCCTTTGGGGCCCTCTTGGCTGAGGCCTGACATGTGCTAGCACACAGTGGGTGAGGCCCCTAGCTGGGCATTCTCTCAAACGAGCATGCCTGGGGTTTACTGTAAAGGACAAACGAGGCAAGGCTGCATGGAGATGTCAGACGATCGGCTCAGGCCCTGGGCGTGCATGGAATCGTGCAGTCCCTTGCACGGGCTGCCATGCTGAGGTCACGGTAGTAATGGTAGTTTGCAGAACGTTCCCTTGTGTGATTCCCTGAGAACTGACTGATCCTGCAAGAGGCCCCAAGGCTAAGAGGGCTTCTGTCACCCACGTCATGGTGGCCTCTGGGATCAGCCACAAATAAGAGAACTTTCCCTTGTTTCGGGGGGGCCCTTGCCATCAGACGCACATTGTTGTTCGTTCCCTTCTTCCTGGGGCCTGTTCAAGTCAGGAGTTTGTTTCTGGTTGGTTCTCAAGCACCCTGCTGTCTTTCGCTCTGCCTTTCCCCCTCCTTCCGGTCCGTGTGTCTCATCTGGTGTCTGCCGCCTCATTCCCTCCGCTGGGGCTGACCACCATTGGCAGCCCAGATGGGAGAGCTCAGACTCTTCGGGGACGTGGCCAAAGCTTTGGGGAAAGTGCCACAGGCAGAAGGGACAGCACATGCTTGGCATCTGTCAAAACCTGGAAGGTTCTGGAATGCAGGTAGGGAGTGGAGGTGGGACCTGGGAGAGATGAGAAGAGGCAGGCTGGGGTCACACTGCACAGTTTTGAGGCCAAGGTCAGGGCTGCAGAAGGAAGCCACTGGAGTCCGTTAGGGGCATCACATGGCCTGGGTGAGAATTAGGACCCAGGCGTGTGGCTGTGCTCTGCGCACTGGATCGGGGACAAGGGGAGGTAAAGTGGGTGGAGGCAAAGAGAGACACCCCCTCCACAATGATGTCTTCTCTCCCTGGTCTGCCTCACCCCCAGCCTGGGAGTCTCATGAGGGAAAGGCCAGGTCTCAGATCTCTGGGCTTGCTAGGTGAGGGAGGAAGTAGGTTCTGTGACCCACATCGTCAGGCCTGGTGTCCCATGTGTCCCAGGAAGACCCTGCTCGGTGCTTTATGGCCCAGCACGCCACGGGTGGGGTTAAGAGACAGCAGGTGATTGCGAGAGGCCTTGCGGTGGGGCTGGGGGTGCTGAGCGGAGGCTTTGGTGCAGGAAGGCCGCCGGGCCCCTGGAGGCGCCCCTCCTCCAGCACCGTCCTGTCCAGGGGCCGCTGCCCCCCCCCCCTACTGCGACCGATGAAAATGAACACGACTTCCGGTTGTAGAAGGTGGTGATTTAATAGATGGGTTTTCAGTCAGCGGGGCAATTTATAAAAATGCAAAACTGCAGAGGTCAGGGGCAAAGGGGTGGGCAGTGGTCACCTTTCTGCGGTGTCCTTAGTTGAGTGCTTCTCTTCCCTGATGGCTCGAGGGGAGGGAGTCCCTGTCTCCTCGGCAGATGGCCTGGCAGGCTGCTTGCCCGAGGCATCCCAGCGCCCCGGGAGGGGCCCGCTCACCGCAGCTATCTCTGCCCTCCCCAGATGCCCATTCACCAGAATCTCAAGGAGCTGCTGGCCGTCAAGGCGGAGCTGCAGAAGCGGGTGGAGGACCTGCAGCGGGAGGTGGCCACGCGGGCCTCGTCCTCGTCCGAGCGGGGTTCTTCGCCTTCCCACCCCGTCACCCCTGTCCATACCTCCGTCTGACGGCTTCCGGAGGGCGGCGCTTTGGGCCACTCTAGTCTGCGCGGATGTCCTGCTGGGCGGCTCAGGCAGGGGACTGCAGCTTGTGATCCGGTCTTCTAGGCTTGGGCCCGCCGTCCTCCACGTCCGGAAGGCACTTCCAACCAGTGACCTGTGTGTGGCTAGGTGACCGCTCCCACTGTCATCAAGTGCTTTTTGTTTCGTGACCTGTGCCCCTCTCACCACTGGTTTCTGGCGGTGGCCACCTGTTGCACCAACCCTGTGAACCGCCCGCCAGGTCCCGGCAGCTCAGGAGGGAGGAGGTGACCGGTGCTGGGGGGGGGGGGGGAGTGGAACAGGGCCGAGGTAAAGGAGGCCTCCCTCCAGTTCCTTCCAAGGTAAATCCTTCTTGTTCAAATGCACTCCGTTCACTTCTGGACCGCGTGCCAGCCACGCGGCTTCTTTTAGCTCTTTGCTCCAACTTGAAAAATGTTTTCAACTTAACTATCGGGTGGGGGCAGGCCCACTGCTGCCATCAAGTCTGCAGTCCCCTTCACGCAAGGGGCCTCCTGCACCACTTACTGCTGTGTACATATAAGGCATTTTTAAGAGAGAGAGACCGGCCTTTATTTTCCTACGCCCTTTTTTACGTTTAGACTAGTCACCCGAGGAGGCGTCTGCTCCCGCGGGCTGGTGGAGCGATTCCTTGCCCACCAAGCTCACGCCAAGTGCATGTGCTACATCGGGAACGTGATTTGAACGGGACCCGTGAAATGCCACGGTGTCCAGTCCTCTCCCGGACACCCGTGCCCACCTCCCAGGCCGGTGGTGGGGGTGGCTTCCCTGAGGATGGCACGGTCCCTTGCAGGGCCCCATGTGTCCAACTGCTCTCGGGGCTCGGTGCCCGCCCTTCCTCTACTGCCGCCGGCTGTGTGTGCCCACGCGAGCCTGCCCTGGGCCCACAGCTGCCGGTCGGAAAGGTTTCTCGTTTTACAGAGACCCCGCGGCTCCGTTTGCTCTCACCACTGCATAGCCATGGCCCTGGCTGCCCCTGCGCCGCCTGGCTCTCTGTCCTCCGTGCCCTCCCCTCCGCCACCTGCACCCTCCCCTTCCGGTTCCCCAGCTCCACTTGCTTGTACGGCTGCATGGCGACCATCAGCTTCCCTGGAGCGCCCCCTCGGCCAGTGGGGAGGGGGGGCTGTAGCGGGTGGGGCTGCCCCCCCCCCCCCTCACCGAGGCGAGCCTGAGACTTGCCTGTGTGACTGAGAAGCAGCCCAACAGACCGTACTCCTGGAGTGTACCTAGCACAGAACTCTCTAAAACAACTTGAAGAATACTGTTACCTAAGCAGTTCTTTTTGTCTTTTATTTAAGTGTACTAGAATGTAAAACCTTTATGGTTCCGATTTTTAAAAAGTGGTACAGTATCGTTCTTGCCTCATCTGATGCACTGTATTTCAATCTGTAATTAAAATAATATGTTTGCTCCGTGGTCTGGTTTTTTAAGTTCCAATTTTTACCTTGGGGGAAAAAATGACAAAACCTTCAGTACTTGTCATTTTCTGTGTCAGGCCCAGTTACCAGATGTGCAGCGCCTGTACAGGATTTAATTCATTTACTGAATGATAAACACAGTCTATCACGTCTTGAGTGTTTTGGCCAAAACAGGTTAAGTATTCTGATTTTAACACCCCTTACATGTCAGCCTGAGAAAGTATTGACCGTGGGGGGGAAGGGCTGGGACCCCCAGAGTCACAGGCCACTCCGAGGGGGCAGGATGCTCTTTCCAGGCCCTGAGTCCTAGAGCTTGCAATGGGCCAGACTTCCGAGAAGCCCCAGGTCCACACCCCAAGTCTACAGCAGGTATAGGGGCCCTTTGGGCACCTTTTACGGACCTTTGCGGGTTTCCCTTCTCATAAGGGCCTAGGGTCCATGCCCCCTGCAGGCAGCAGTCACTATAGCCCCCAAGGCCCGGAGGGCCAGCCACCGCGCCAGCTACAAGCCAAGCCACAGGGTTATGACAGGGGCACTCTCGTTACCAAATGGCCATCCTGCAACACAGCGACAGTGAGTAAGGACATGCGGGTCCTGCTCCCCGCTCCACTGAGGCAACAAACGGCACACAAATCTGCCCGGCTCCCGGCCAGCTGTGAGGATGGCGAGTGCTGGGCTTGGGAGCTGCCTGTCTGGAGCCAGCGCCAGACATCGGACACAGCCAGTCCCTCTGCGGCTCAGGCCTCAGCTCCTTGTACCAGAGGGACTACCCAGAAGCCCGGGCACCAAGCCACTCATCAGCAGGGTAAATGGGAGAACTCAAACTTCCTGGAGAAATGCCTCGGGCTGGGGAGGAGGGGAATAAGGTCAGCTCCTTATCATGAACTCCCTTAAGAAACAAACAGCATCAGTGGACAAAGGAAGTGCCTTCACACCGCCAGAATACAATGATCTGATAGGTTCCATTTTGTTTAATGCAAACACAAGTTCACAGTTCACATTTCAACACAAGCACATAAAACGTACAGAGGATTCTGAGATCGATCTCCATTTCTTCTTCCTCACACGAGTGCACAGGCGCTCCCAGCTCAGCAGGCCTGGCACTGGTCTCGGGGCCCCACAGCACCCTGCGCACCAGCTGCCACGCCTCCTTGCTCCTGTGCTCAGTTATCCACACTGAGCCTCCAGCCCCCCAGTTAAGCTGGTACAGATCACACACCCTCAACTGGCCCTTCTAGTTCACTCAGTCTTTCCTGTCATCTGGGACCAGCCCAGGGCGGTCAATGCAACTTTCAAATAGACATGGTTCCAAGAGCCTAGGGTTCTGCAGGAGTCGGTGCCCAGCACCCCCAGGGGCGAGAGCTCTGCAAACAGGTGACCCAATGACTTTCCAGGCCTGGCCTGGCCCTAAGAGGGCCAGGTGCTGGGCTAGGGCCGTTCTTGTAAGGGAGCGCAAAACGGGTCTCTTAACCGAAATCACCGCTTTGAGCAAAGAGACTCCCACGCAGCACTGACTGTACATCAGAGCTGTGGGGGTGCACGGTCACTGCCGCCACAGAAGCCTCCCCGTAAAGTCACAGCGGACAACGGCGGAGCACACCCAGCCTCGGGGCTCCTAGTGGACCAGCTCTGGAGTTCCGGCCGTGCTGTACAGTGCGACGCACAGGCCACATCGTTCCTCATCCTAGTTGCTACCGTGGGAGGGAGAGAAGTAACTTACCACACACAACTGCTGCCTCATTTTTCCTCCTTTGACACACCTCGGGGACCTCAGTGGGCAGCCATGCGGACTTGGTGAGTTGCCGAGGGCGGCCCCGATCCCTGCCCCATTCCAACTACCTAGGATACTGGGTGGCAACAGGCCACAGATACAAAAACCCTCCGGCCGCCCAGCAGCAGCCAGGGGTGGGGCCGTCGGCCCTCACCATCCTTGGCAGGGACAAGCGGCCAAGTTGATGACCCAAGGCTCTCCACAGAGGGGTGGTCTCAGTGCTCCCTGCCCACCTCATACACGCACAGTCCTGGCCCATCTGGACTCAGCCCCAACTGGGGGGCCTTTCAGGGCCACGGGCACACACGGGCACGGGTCTGCAGGGCAGCCTGGGGACACACGCCGTAGCGGAGGACTATCCCATGTGTGGTTTTACAACAGCTGCTAACATGAGCGCACGACGCATATATTCTACAACCTGCAGGGCCCGCTCTGATTTCAGCGGTTTCCTTAGGATCTCGGCCTCGCCTCCTCCCAGCTCAGCCAACGCAAGGGAGCTAACACACAGGCAGTACGATGCGCGGGGCTGTGTGCGGCGCAAAGGGGCGTGTGGAGTTGTCTCAATAGGACCCCACCTTCCGGCCGACCTATGCTTCTGGAAGTGCTTTTGGACACTACAAACTGATTATCAGTAGATAGTGGCTCTTGACTTCAGCTCAGTCTCAGCAAAGGGCCTGGAGACAGGACCACATATGGGTCAAACGGAACATTCCAGGAAGCTAGCCCAGACTAGACAGCTGCTCCAGGACAGTGCCTGGGTTCAGGTATTTACCGCAGGGAGCGTAACACCCCAAAGGCTCTTCAGAACAGGCTAGGCAGGGTAAGTGGACACACTGACTCAGGCAGGTTTCACTAAACCAAGGAGACGTCCCTTTCCCCATCCCCCTCCAACCTCAAAGATAATTTTAAGCAAACAACATGCACACTCCGGCTTTGCTGCTCGTCCTTGATGTCTGTACCTTTTGCTGCTAAAACAAGAACACAGAGTGGAAGAGGAGCACTCATTTCAAGGCATAAATGATTCCTAAAAACTAATCACATCAGCTGGGAGACCACACGAAGCCCCTATGGAATCAGAGGACAGTTAGGCCCGAGAGTCACAGCTACTTGTCCAGAAGGTTCCTAAACTCTCAGGGTGGGTGTGTTTGCCCTTAAAGAAATGAAAAGCCACTACTTGGAGCAGCTGTCTGGGAGCCCAGCAGTGTAAAAGCTGGGACGAGGAAGGACCGAAAGTACCCCCCGCCGCCCCCAGACCCACATTACCTGCACTAGGTGGTGTGTGTGTGTGTGTGTGTGTGTGTGCGCGCGCGCGTGCACGTGTGTGTGTGTGTGTGTGTGTGTGTGTGTGTGTGTGTGTGTGGTTACCTGATGCAGGGGCTCTATGCACAGCACTTGGAGGTCACTGCCAGAGACACACTGAGTTAACGCGGAGTGCAGGGCATCACACCACCCTGGGTTCCAGCTCTCATCCCTCACCTCGGTCTCACCACCCCCAGCTCCCTCAGGGCCGGGGACAGGCTGGCCCCCGGGGTGGCAGCCTGGCGGCTTCAAGGCTGGTGCTGGCGCTGGGTTCCACCCTGAGTGTCTTCGGGGCCTCTGTGGCAGGGCAGGCGCAGAAGGCAGACTCACACGCACCCAGAGCTCATCTGGAAAACTTAAGACGAGAAGCCAATGATGTCAGCAAAGCAGTGCAGCAGCTGGGGGTCCGAGGGAAACGAGGCATCCCTGCTGCAGAGTGGCGCCCTCAGATTCGGGGCGCATCAGAGGGCGGTGGCTCCGCAGACTGCGTTTGCAGCGTTAGGTATTTCACTGGGGAGAGAAGACAGCGGTCAGGAGGGGGTCGTTTCCACCCAGCACAGAAGGTGTAGATACACAACTGAGCCCCTGCTGAGGCCAAAAACCTGGTTTCTGGTCCGTTGTGTCCAGAGGCTGGGGCAGCTCAGCCCCTCCCGGCCAGCTTCCCCTCTGGCACCCACTCTGTCCCCAGTCAAGCAACCCTGGACCCCAGAGAGAAGGAGGAAGGTAGACAAAGCCTGTAAACGGCTCAGCCTCTGTTTCCTCAGCTGAAAAACGGGACTGCTCCTGACCGGGCTTGCTGGCCAGTGGTAGACGTGCATGCAGTGGTCACTGAGTGTTTGAAGAATTCCTATAGTGAGGGGGGCGCCTGGGGGTCTTAGTCACGTGTCTGACCCTTGTTTGCAGTGCACGTCATGATCTCATGGTTTTGTGAGATCAGACTCCATGTTGGGCTTACATGGACAGCACGGAGCTGACTCTCTAAATAAACTTAAGAACAAATAAAAATTACTACAGCAAATGTCACCGTAGAGTCTGTTTTCCTCGGTCCCATTCCGGGACCGCTGAGTCCATTCTGTCCTAAGCAGCAGCGTGCGACACTTTCCTCCGTCACACAGCTTGAGTGACAACACACCCCTGGGCTTCCCGGTCCCCCACCTGCACGTTGTATCCGTCTTGAGAGGCATCTGTGTGGGAGGCATCTGTTTTTGTTGACAGGGAACACAGTCCCAACAGCACGTGGAAGTCCCTGATGTGCCACCAGACACTGAGACTGGTTTCGCTTCGTGCCAGGCCCGCTGTCTAGCAGCCCTTTAGCAAGAGAGCACTCACCTTGGGGTTCCTCGCACACGACGGCTTCCAGGTTCTCTCCCTTCACATAGTCTGCACTCAGACCCTCTGCAAAGGGCGAAGGGCAGAGTTGGTGACTGACAAAGGGCCCCCACCAAGCCCAGGGGTTCTCATCACTGTCCTCAGAGATGACACGGGCAGGGGCCTCTGACAGCCATCCCCACAGGGCAAGCACTAGCGCACGTGGAACCGGGGGCCAGACAGCAGGCACCTGATGGCGGGGTCAGCACCACCCACGGGTCCACATGCCAGCCCAGGGGCCAGGGCGGTGGAGAGGGAGGTGAGCGCCGCATGAGTGACTGACAGATGCAGGGCGGAGGGGGCAGAGAGCTGAAGGGGGCTCCTGCCTACGGCCTTCCCAGTGACTCCCGTGACTCCAGGCCAACAGGCTCCCCCAGCCCAAAGCGGCACGTGTTGTCCCCGCCCCAGTGCAAAGGGCCCAGGGCCCACCCCCAGCCGCTCTGGTCGGTCCTATGGCCTTTCTCCCCACTGACTTCCATGAGGGGCTTGGGGATTCTACAAGCACCTGCCAGCCCTCGGGGCCGTGAGTGGCGCCATATGGATGTAAGAGCCCACGCTCGGGACTCAGAGTGGACCCTGGCCTGCTGCTCCTTAGGGAGAGTCAGGAGTCCATGTTGTGGTCCAGGAGAAGCCGGGGACTGGAAGCCGTAGCAGAGCCCGTGGGAAAACCAGGCCTTGGGTCTCAGCAACCACACGACTGAGCAGGCGCCAGTGTCCATCCTGCTGCCACCACGGGCCTCACCCAGGCTCCCCACCTGCCTACCCAGTACTCGCTGAGCTCAAGGTAGACACCAGATGGGCCCAGGGAGAACGGCACGTGTGACAAGGCAGGCGAGGGAGCCAGGGAGGCCTAAGCAATGACCATCAGTGGGCCCCTGAGTCCCTGACAGGACCCCCACCCCCCAGCCCATGCGCCCCTGAAACCAGCCCCGTGTGGCCTGCTGAACTGGCTGGCATCCTCCCAACACGCACCAGGGCAAGCTACAGATGGTTGTGGTGACAGCCAAGTCGGTGAATGCTGGGGGAGGGGGGTCCGTGGAGAGTGGGGAGCAGCAAGAGGGGTGGGGTGCAGACGACGAACAATGAGCAAAATGAGGAAGTCAAAGCATCCCATTACCTTGACCTTCTGCTGCATCTGAAGGCAAGACACAAAGCTTAGGACCCTGGAGCAAGTACTTAGCCCCCATCAATGGACCACAGGAGCTTCCAGCGAGACGCACTGACCCTGTCACTGTGACTTTGTCACTGAGGGCAGAGACAGGAAGCTGAAGGTCCCCCAAGTCTGGGCCCCTTTGGTGGCAGCTGAGGCTGGAGGCCCCTGAGCTCTCCTAGTCACCACGCGCCATCTCCCTGGGGCTTCCGGGTGATGGGGTGCGCGGTGGTTTCTGCTCTGCCTTCCCTGACCTCTGTGCAGTGGTGGCTGTGGCCACAAATATCCACGGGCTCCTCCCAACTCCGGTCCAGCCTAGGTGCCAGGGACACATCAGTGGATGAAGCACACAGTCCCGAGAGTGATGAGGGTGGGGGGGGCAGGGCAGTTACAGCCGCAGGAACCAAGCCCAATTCCACCCCACCAGCTCCAGGCCTGGCCGGCAGGGGGCGCTGTGGTCATACTCAGCACAGGCTGTGAAGGGAAGGTTTCCTGGGAGGGTGCCCGAGCCCAAGCCTCAGAGCAGCCAGGTGAGGAGGGGGATGGCAGAGAGAGCAGGGGACTCAGAGACTAGTGTCTGGCTTCGGGGGACAGAGGTAGCTGGCGTGGTTGGAGACAAACCATGAAGGGCTTTCAATGGCCAAGCTCATGGGCGGGACCGTGACCTGGAGGGCAGTGGGGCACGTGGGAGGTCAGGCAGAGCTGGCCCTCTGGCTGCGCAGAAAGGCGTATGGGAGAGGTCGGGGCAGGCAGGAGGCTCATGGGACCATCCAGGGGGACAGGGAGACCTGGCCCTGGGCAAGCAGGGGCCATGACAGCGGCGACGGAGGGGGCGGTCCCCGAGCAGACCCGCGCAGGGGGGCACCAGCCCTGGGAGTGGGGGACCCACTGATGTGAGGAGAAAGTGGGGGCTGAGAAGGGGCGCTGAAGGACGGAGTGAGGCTGCCCTAACAGCGCAAACCCGAGTCCTCCCGCGGCACTGCAGTTCCCCTTGGTGCCGCCTTCCTGTTCCTGCTCCGGGCACCCATGTGGGACCCGGTGCTTCCCGCCTGCAGCAAGTTCCTTCAACACTCCTCCGACGCCCTGTTTCCGGTTTCCTCATCGATAAAATGAGGGTGCCCAGACGGACCCCGGCGAGGACCCTCATACAGCAGTCGGTGGCAGCAGGCAGGTGGCGAGCACACCACACCGGGGAAGCCGTTCGTACTGCAAGTATGGGCCTAGCTTTTAGACAGGGTCTCTGGTCGGGTGTCCGGGTGACTCAGTCAGTTGAGTGTCTGACTTTGGCTCAGGTCATGATCTCACAGTTTGAGTTCAAGCCCCGCATCAGGCTCTGTGCTGAGTGCTCACAGTCTGCTTCAGATTCTCTCTCTCTCTCTCTCTCTCTCCCCCTTCTCCTGCTCACTCTCTCTCAAAAATAAACATTAAAAAATGTAAATAGCTTCTCTTTTACCCAATATGCTTCCTGACATCTTCACACCATCTCCTGGCATGTGAGCCATCTTGCGCAGCTCGGATAGCCACGGACTGTACACACCTCACTGTTAGGGTGATGACGCTGTACCAGAGAGACGGCCAACTCCTCAGCCCTGGGGGACCTACGTCCTTTATTTGGAAAATGATCTTTGCATGTGTGATTAAGTTCTCAAGATGAGACCGTCCTGGATTTAGGGTGACACACAGACAGAGGAAAAGGCCATGTGAAGGCCGAGGCAAAGACTGGAGGGACGGCAGCCACAAGCCAAGGGACACCTGGAGTCGCCAGAAGCTAGAAGAGGCAAGGAAGGATCCTCCCCTACAGCCTCCAGAAGGCACATATGCTGTCGATGCCTTGACCTGGACTCCTGGCTTCCAGAACTGTGAGGGGATACATTGTGTCATTTTAAGTCACTTGGTTTTTTTGCTTTTGAAGTAGGACAAAGTATAGCTCTAAGGACAATTCAGCTTCCAGTTCCACACTACTTCTTGACACTTCCCTGTTCACAGTACTCTACAGCCAAGCTGGTGGGTCCATGGTGAGTCAACAGGATATCAAGCAGGGTGGTGACCATGAACAGTTGTGCAGGTTGTGCACTGAGACATGAACAGTGCCCCTGGAGTACTGCTGTGCACAGCCTGTGTAACTGTATGTGGTGGCCCTGGTCAAGAGTATTGTACAAGAGCAAGAGAAACAAACATGATCGCCAAAGGAAAATGAGGTAGAGACTTCTGCAGTACCCACATCTAAGCATTCTGGTGCCCAAGTTCATTTACTGGGAAGCCTGGCCCCAGGCTACAATTAAGGGCAGAGGCCACCTCACAGGACATGCCCCTAAGCTTCAGGAAAAAGGAAAACCATACTTGAACTGGGCTCTGTCACTTGAACTAAAAATCGCCTGTTTCAGAGATACACTGTCAGCAAGCAAGGACACACAAAGCTATATTTGTGAGAGCAGCCAGGGCGCTCTTCTCACTCCCCTTCCCCCTTCCCGGCAACCTCTCCCCGCCCCCCACCAGCGCTCCCAGCACAGGCTCCCTGCAGGCTGGGCAGATGCAGCTGTGCTGGTTGCTATTTGACTTACAAGGCAGACACGCGGAGCTACAGCATAAAATGAACATCTAGCATGAAAGGAGGGGCAAGACCCACACCCTATCCTGCCCCTTGCACTCGAGCTCCTTTAAAGCCCTTCGAGATTCCAGCAGCCTCCTGACCCCTGAGCCGCCGAGGCCGCTGCCCTGTGCTCTTGAGGAGGCTGGCAGTGCAAGCAGGTGAGGCCTGAGGCCGGATGGAAACCCCGGGCCCTCTCCTGCTCTGCGAGACACTGGCAAACATCGGCGTCCCTGGGTGCTGCCCCCACAAGTCTGGCCCGTTTGCACTTCGGTCGGGCCTCGCCGGAAAGCCACCTCGGGTGGCTGCGGAACAGACCCGAGCACACTGTCCCTGCCCCCTGCCCCGGAGAGACCCCATGCTTCACGGTTCACTCACGCTGGATGCTGAAGCAGAACTTCTTCTGCTGGTACGAGATGTAGCTGGAGACCGCGCCGATCAGGGCCATGGCCAGGGCACTGGCCACGCCGGCGATGGTGCCGGCCTCCGCCGACATTCCTAGGCAAAGGAGAGGGTGGGAGACGTGAGGCAGAGGAGGGGGTGGCGCACCAGGCTCGGCTAGGGCGTCGGCCAAGGGCTTCTCATTGTCCATGAGGCTTTCCACCTTGAGAAGCCTGAAAGGTGGCCGTGGCTGTGGTCTCTGGGTCTCAGGCTGACAAGCTTCCTGTGGGACCACCTCCCCGGGGATCCCGGTTTTCCTGCTTCATTCCTTTCAATCACTGCATCCCTCTGGTGCCGGCCTCCCAGTTCCCTACTGGAGACACTCAGGGGAAGCTTGGGACGCCAGCAGGTAGGCATTATGTCCTTGGGCTTTTTCCAACAGACACCACGGGATGTCAACTCACCGGATTCGGGGTCGTCACTGCTGCCATACCGGCCATCACCTGGAGAAAGGACAAAAGCACTTAGTGTCTGCTGTGCGCCTGTGACCCCCAGGCTTGGGCACAGCCTCTTCCCAACTCACTGACCCTCTGCTTCCACTCCGGCCACAGACCGCCCCCCGCCCCCCCGAAATCCCCACCGGGCTTCTGCCTGTGTAGCAAGATCTGCTTCCCACTGCCAGTCACCTGCAAAGCCTGGGCTGCCAGGCAGAACTTCTTCTTTGTAAAATGACAGTGACTGTGCATGGAGCACATGTTGATCCCAGCTCCTCATATACAGGATTCTTTGCAATCCAGTGAGGCAGGTGCACCTAGTGCCCTGATCTCACAGGGGCAAGCGGGCTCCCGGGTGTGGGACCTCATTCTGAGGGACAGCACTATGCGTACCCTGTATGGACTGTCTCCTTCCTGTAAGAGGTATTTATTCTTGAGCTGATTATAGAAAATAATTATATAAATCTGTTTTTTTAAAGGGATGAAAGACTAGCATAAAAACAAGTCATAATTCGACTGTGCAGAGATTTACAACTGATATTTCAATTTCCTTGCCTCCTGTCCCTAGTGCTTTACATGCTTTTTCTTCAAATCCAGACATTTCTGTTCATGTAATTTAGGTACACATTCAGCATCCTAGCAATAGGCTGCAGGAGTATGTGATGATCATGACCTCTGTACGGTGCTCCTCCTCTACACTGGCACACAAGCAAAGGAAGGCTGACAATCCCTCGTCCGGCATTTGGAAATTCAAAAGCCTCTGCGATACCACGGGAAGGGAGAACAGATTAGTGGCTGGCAGGGATGAACGTGGCGGGGGAGGGGGGAGACGACCGTGTGGTGACAGAACTGGTCTTTATCAGAGCCTAGCAGTGGTCACGCGCGTCCACACCTGGGAGGGAGACAACACCATGCAGAACTCCACACACACATACTTACCTCCCCAGACAACCGCACGGTGCCATTTCAGGTCATTAATCAGCCTTGAGCTCTCCCTTCTCAGGGCAGAGGGCTCGTTCACTGCACTCTGGACGGACACTGCAGCCCCAAGCCCAGGGTTTTCACGGGAACCCGCTCTGGGATGTGGGAGGCAATGAACTGTGGCATTTCCTTCACCATTCGGATTCTGGGGACGCGTCCCTGCCTGGACTATAACATGTGTGCCCCCGTGGGGAGGAGGGGTGGGTGCCAGCAAGGTCGGGGGGAGCCCGTGGGGAGCAGGAAGTGCAGGGGAAGTCTCCACACTCTGCCTAATTTTGCTGTGGACCTAAATCTGCTCCGGAAAATGAAGCCTATTTTGGAAAGAATGCGGGCAGAGAAAATGAGGTTTGTTATGTTCCCACTTACGGCTGAATCCTTGAGTTAAAGAAGCATGATTGGACATGAGTGGTTATTTACAACACAGGAGCACTGGCTTTTGAAAAAGCACAATCAGTACTGTTGGAGAGTTCTGAGCAGAAAGGACGACATGAGGTCCTCTGTGCATTAACCTGTCACCAGCAAGGTCACTTGTGACAACCCTCCTAGGCGTCCTCTGCTGATGTGTACACATCACCAGATTTCTAGATAAAGTAGGTTGAATTGCTCAGACCTTTCTTTCAGTTCAAGTCTCTTTCCTTATTTTTTTAAAACATGGTTGATATATTTAAATTTTTTAACATTTATTTTTGAGAGAGAGAGCATGACCTGGGAAGGGGCAGAGTGAGAGGGAGAGAATCCTAAGCAGTCTCCATGCTCAGCACGACCTATGTAGGGCGCGAACATGAACTGTGAGATCGTGACCTGAGCTGAAATCAAGAGCTGGACGCTTAACTGACTGAGCCACCCAGGTGCCCCTCTCTTTCCTTCTTAATACTTGGTCACAAGGACATAGAAACTCGAACCTCACAATCTGTATGATCGTGAGCTATGAGAGTGTTACACGAAATGTGAACAGAATGGCGTTATTCATACAAGCCAAGAAGGGGAAACCACCCAAAGGCCTATCACTTAACGGATACCCTTCGGCGGTACGCGTGGACAGTCACACCTTTAAAAATGTATACTTCCCGTGACCCAGCAATTCAACACCCAGGAATTTATCTGGCAAATTATGATGGTTTGTATATTTGGCTACGAGGCTGTTTATCACAGCGCTGTGCACAGCAGTAGGAAACTGGAGGAAAAACCCTCTCAACATAAGTAGTGGTTAGATAAACTCAGGTATAACATTATGCAGTCATTACCACGATTACTTTATACTGCTCCTTAATGACCCACAAAGATACTCAAGGTGTTCTTGAATAAAAACTGGTTTTAAGTAGCATGGTCCCATTTTTATAAAAAGAAATATTTACCAATGTATACTTATGTACAGAAAAAGTACTACAAGCATATTACTCCCAAGTATTAGCGGTAATTCTTCCTAGAGGCTGAAACAGTAAAGAAGTATTTTCATATAATTTATATAAAATGTTGAAAATAGATAAACCCATGATTTCCCACAACTAGAGGAACAGCTCACAGAAGCTACTCCACAGCTCACTGGCAGGATCGTCATTTTCAAGGACAGGATGTTTTATTTTTTTTTTGTTTTATTTTCGTAATGTTTTTTTTTTTTTTTTTTTTTTTTTGACACAGAGAGACAGCCAGAGAGAGAGGAGGAGGGGAGGAGGGGCAGAGAGAGAGAGGGAGAAGGAGAATCCCAAGCAGGCTCTGAGCTGTCAGCACAGAGCCCAACACGCAGCTTGTACTAACAAGCCATGAGATCGTGACCTGAGCCGAAGCCGGAAGCTTCATTGACTGAGCCACCCAGATGCCCCCAAGGACAGTATATTTTATACCTCCACCTGCTTTCTCAGTCCACAACTATATACCACACTTGCATACCAAAGAGACCAGAGTTGCCCTCTGTTGTACAAGAAATCCCCCTGTAAAACAGATCTCATCCTGCAATTTGCTTTGAGTACAGAGACCTATCCATCTAGATAGCTATGTGGAAGGCCATAGCTCTAGGGACAACTAGTATCTGAAACCATGGTGACCGCCATAGTCACAGCTACCCCCATAGCTAGAAGAACCCCTACACCTACAGTGACCGCTGTACCCAGAGTGAGCACTAGAGCATGAGGCATGACCTCCGTGAGGAACTCCTAAATATGCCCAGTCATTAACACAAGGGTTCTATCCATACCATCCTCAAATACAAAAGTCAACGATGCGCACGCGCATGTATACACACACCAGTGTTCAGTCCGCCATAGCCACATTCCTAGGAGGCGGGGATGCAAGGCACATATTTGCCCTTCTCCGACAACAGCACAGCTCACGGTGAGTGCGTGACATGTATGATTTGCCAAGGCATGGAGAGTCACATACCAGTGGGGAGATTCTATCTAGAACTGGTGGGGGGGGGGGCATGAAATGTTCAAGTATTTAAGGACTTTTGTGACTATTCTAGACTTCTAACACACATAACCAGGACTTTCAGATTTTTTAAAAATGTTCATTATAGAAAAACTGGTAGCAGAAACGGAACATAAAAAATAAAAAAAGTTAAAAATAAATAAGGAAAAAGGTTTGTTTCAAACTGACCCATGGATACAAAGTCAAATCAAACAGGAAAAAACTGGCAGAACATGGCTGCCTAAGCTAACCACTGGGGATACCATTCCTCAGTGTTGTGGAAAGTCTCTAAGGCCTGGATGTCTTGCACCCCCCACCTCAGAGATGAGAAAGGTCACCCTCCAGCCAGAGCACCAAACAGCTACTGTCCCAGAACAATCTTTGAGGAGAACCCTCCCAAGCACAGGAAGGCTGTGGCCCTGGATGCGGGCCAGCACCAGCAGAGGGCCTGTCCCTTTGGGCACTCCCCTGGTCTGCTCTCCCCTCCCATCCCCACTGAGTTCCTTGGGTCAACTTATCATGGGGTTTCGGACAACACACCAGTGCAGGTGATCTGGGGGTGCTAACGACCCCCCCTCCTCCACTCTGGATCCTTTACCAGCTGAGAACAGACGCAAAGAGCCAGAGGAAGATGAGGCAAAGGGTTGGCTTCCCAAAGGGGCCATACAAGTACACCATCAATGCCAAGGTTACCGGCTTCCACAAAAGCGTACGATGTGAGAAGACACAGCCCGTAGCCAAATGGAAGCTTCCCATTCGTCATCTCCTGTCTCACGAAATCCCCTTGGAGCTCACTTGGGGAAAGCTGGGTTCCCAGACCAGATCAGAGAGTTCACAGCCTCTGAGAGCGCACTTCCCCAGCCAGCAGCAGAAAGGGCCCTTCAGGGTCCAGGAGAAAGCACTTCATGCCATGAGCCCCACGCAAACGTGGCCCCAGAGGGTCATCAGCTGAACCAGTCAAACACGTCCCCCTCCCCTCCGTGGGGAGGCATGCACGAGAGGGTGTGTGCCACCTGAGTCCCCCTCATTGCAGCAAACATTTACTGGGCTGCTGGGGAAACATGAGAAAACCCGGCACCTACTTTGGGAAGCCAAGCCCAGCAGGGGGCAACAGGCGCTCCAGGAGGGGAACAAAGGCAAGACGCGCGCCCCAGGGCCGCTGGGAGAGAGGAAGAAACCTCTGAGGCCGCGGTTAAGGGATGGGTAGCTTAGCACTTGATGGAAAATGAGCAGGAATTCACATGGTGGAAGAAAAGCATTTTAGGCAGAGAAACAGCACGCAAAGGCCCTGAGAGGTGCAACTACCAGTCCATCTGCATATTCGGAGCGGAAAGGGCCCTAGTGCTCTGTGGCAGAGAGACCAGTCAGCGAGCTAAGAGCATGAAACTATCCTGGAGGCAGTGGGGGGCCTGCTGTTTTGCTTCCTTAAAAATTTTTCCCTATATTTAATTAAGAAAAAATCCACACATACTGAAAAAGTTGCAAACATCATACCGTGAACACTCCTATCCACTCCCTGAATTCCATCACTAACGTTCTGCATTATCTGCTTTATCGTATGTCCATCCACCCATCCGTCTGCCCATCTATCAGTGTCTTTTATGTTTATGCTGCATTTCAAAGTC